GCCAACGCCAACGTACAGGTTTTTCTTATAAAAGGATTAGTGTGCGAGTAAACTTTTTCTACGTTTTCTTTTTCGGTATGTTTCGCAACCATTCTAGTAGTTTCATACCATTCTTCTTCCATCATTTCTTTATCGTAATGATATAAATAATACCAACCCTTTAAAGATAAAGATGGAGCCGTTAGATTATTGCACATATTCTGGTTTACAACTTCTTTCGTCACTTGGTTGTATTTTATCAAACAAGCTCCCAAACAGAGAGTGTCTCTCTTGGCGTAAGGTTCCCATTCGTGTCTCAATTCCTCCCAGTTGTCTTGCGTGTATTTAGCGATATCTACGTCAGCAATCTTTCTCAAATTCGCGGGGAGATTGGAAGAATTTCCTCATGCAGCCAAACTAGAGGATTCGTGTTGATAGGAGCACGTGAAATTAATATGTTGTAAATAATTACCCTTTATTTCTTTCTGTCTTTTCCATTTTTTCTGTAAATCTTCATCCATGTATGGATTAGATAAAGGAAAAGATAGAATTCCTCTGGGTGTTTTTAAAGGGCAATGCGTTAGTTTTTTTGCATTTTTAAGCACGATCCAGTTGTCGAATCCACTGCCGTTATGAGAAATTAATATTAATCTCTTTCTATCATATTGACCTAAATATTTCAACATTTGATCGATGCAATCTGTACCTACAAATATTTCTACTACATTCATTAGTTTATCATAAAATTCTTCTGGAAGGGGATCTGATGACTTTAAATCTGGAAAGAGATTATTTATTCTGTTTAACATTTTCCTTAGTTTTTCTAAATTAATTTAAGTGCAACAATATGGAATTGCTCTTCGCTTGTCTTTTTCTGAATATGTTTCGCAATCCCAAGCGAATAACGCATCATCGCTCATACTCGAAAGCACGTTTAGGTGAAACCTGTGTTACTGCGTTGTTGTCTCTACACGTTTTCCACACCTGTTCGTAATTGCCTTCTATTTCTTGAATTCCCAAATTTTTTTGTGCGAGTTGTGTAAGTAAAAAACCCAATCTAATTCATCGTGAACGTCTCTGGGATGAAAATGTCTGTTTTTGGGATTATAAATTTGAAACGAAGTGTTGAATTTCTTGTTGAATTCCTTCATTCTAGCACAAGTCATCACTCCTTTTCTATTTGCTTTTGAAAACCCGTTCATGTATTCTTGAAATTCTCTCGTGTAGTCTTCGTTTAAAACACGATTGACGCATTTGATAAAACAGTGACCATCTGTAGGTATGTAACAATTTTCGCCTTCGTATTCATTTATCTTTTTAAGTAGATCAGTTCCTCCTCTACAAACTCTCGACCTTTTTATTTCTTGGAAATTGTCTTTCATTAAAATTATTTTTCCTGTAAAATACTAATCGAAAGCATCGGATTTTTTGTCCATATTTTAAAAGATATTGTGAAAAGTTTTGGCATTGAAACCGAGGAGTGACATGTATTGTCTGTGATTCCCTTCCTCGACTATCTCTCCATCTATTTTAATTTGTCCTTTGAATGTTTTACATTTATCAGAGATAGCCTTGATAACATCGGAAAATAGGGCTTTTTCTATCAATGTTTCATCAAGTTCGATTTTATTCATATTTTTTTATGTATATATTTTTGATTTTTTCTTTATTTTGACCGCTGATATTTCTGTATGGAATTTGTCCAAAATTTCATTGAATTCTTGTAATTCTTCAACTGTTATGTTCTTGTCTTCTCTCGATCTTTCGAAAAAGATGTACAATTGATTAAGATACATATTCAAGATATCCGTTTTCTTTTTATAATGAGCTTTCTTTTTACTCGTGAAACCTAAAGTGATGAGACTGCAAGAGGTCGTTTGAACGGCTGTTGATGCAGCCAATACGGTTGGGACGATGACCGGAAGCATTAATCCAGCAGTCACGGCCGTTGCCACCGTTACTCCTACCGTTAGAACTGTGCTCGCTGTTTTGAAAAAAGAATCGATTCTACTCCATGTTTTCCTGCATGTATTGCACTGTCTCAACTTTATTTTCAACTCTTCTTGTATGTCTATCATGTATTGTTGTCTGCTTTCGAGTTCCATTTTTTAAGTCGTTAAATTAAGTGAATTTCCGATAAATGGAACCACGGAATATCGTATAGAACATTTTTGTTTGGCCTAGCATTATTATTAAATTTTCGGGTATTAAAAGTAAAAACATTTACACGTACTAACGACATTTCTTTTTTCGTATGGTCCTCTTTAAGATGATAGGAATATTTTATTTTTTCTTTTTCGATGCTTATCTTGGCTCTAAAAATATAACCACCAGCATGAAGGATGAAGTCGGAACCTTCGGCAAACGATAAATGCACTATAAACTCTCTTTCTTGTTGACGTTTATGAAGGTGTATTTTTCGCCTAAAGCGAAATATAGTTTTACGTATTCAAAGTCTGTTGTTCGTAAAAACTCGTGACTACTCGATTCTTTTTTTCCGGGTACTTGTAAGTGTCGTGGAACTTGGACAATGTTGGTTGATGGTGGATTTTCCGTCTCCAATATCATATCTAAATCTTTGATTCTAAATCTATTTATATCTTTATTTTCTACTTCCATTTTAAAGGTGTCTATATATTTACCATTTTTCGTTTCAATTTCCTGATTCCTTATATCAATCAAACGTATATTCTCTTCCAAATTACCATCATTGAATAATGAAATATGTTTGACGGCCCTACCGCCTTGTTTGAAGACTACTTTATTGACTTTAACCTTCATGGGAAACTCTATTTGAATCAGACAATTACCTCGAAAAGTAAACTCTTGCGTTTCGCCGATATCGTTCTCTCTTGTGTCAAAAAATCGTCATGAATTCTAGATATCAAAAGATTGACCTGTTCTTTAATATGATTTTTCATATCATCTCGAAAATTTATTTTGAAGAAAGTTTTTAATCACACCCACTTCTTTTTCTAATTCGTCCGTGATTTTAGTATCCAAAGCAGTCAATTGTTGTTTCAACGTATCTTTGTCAATGGGAAGTGTGTTAATTATATCTTGAACATCTGATTTTTGCTTCGCGATCTTTTCGTTCAAATTGGATATCGAATTTTGTAACTCGGTTTTGTCCGCGGTCTTGTCTAGTTCTGCTAGCAATTCGCCAAGTTTTCTTTCCAAGACGGTTAGTTTTCGTTTCAATCTATCCTCGTTTACATTTGGGTTGTCTATTAAACGTTGGACGTCTATTTTTACGTTCGTAATCTTATCGTCTAATTTAGATATTAAATTTTGCAACTGACTTGTTCTATCCACTTGAATAAGACGTTTCAAACTCGTTAACTCTTGTTGTAGTTTGGGTTCGTCCACAAGATTTTTAATATTTCGTCTGAGGTATCTTTTCACGTCATTTATTCTATTTTCAACATGGTCCTCATCTATTTGTATTTATTTGATCCAGTAAATATTTCTTGTTCACGGCATCGTTATCGTTTCCTGGAAACTTTAAATTAGTTATTTTGAAATTGTTCATATCGATATCCCCTTGTAAGGTGTCTCCGATTTGATCCACGAAAAAAGGTTTCGCTTTGTTTATAAACGCCGTAGAACTCATGGGATTTTTATATTCTAGAGGTAAAGACCCTAATCCAAACTTGTTTGCCATTTTTATTGAGTTAAATTTATTATAATTTCTTCAAACTTTTCTCCCAAACTCAACCGATATAAAACCCAAAGCGACAGCTGTCCACACAGCTTTTGTCCTGGCATTTGAATTTGAAACGTAGAACATTTGATTGGTTTGCTAGTCAATTTCGTGATCTCTTCTGTCGGTTCTAGACCGAAAGAATCAAAGAAATAAAAGTTATTCGAAGAATCTTTGTGTAGAGCAGAGTGATGAACTCCTTTTTGATCCGACGTGTGAATGTTTGTGATGGCGTAAAATTTACCTTTCTTGTATTTCAGTTCATCAATTTCATCTCGCATGCAATAATAAAACGGCGAGACGTTCAACTCCTTGGCCCATTTCACAAGTTGAAAATTTGTGGTCGTGTCTTTTCCGTATTTATCGAGAAATACATTCAAGTTGATTTTTTTTAGGTGTTTTTCGAAGTAGGCGGAAAGTATTGCTGAAGACACAATTGACAAAATATATACGTAGTTTGTGTTTGAAAAAACTTGTATAACATTCTGATAAAACACATTCAATAATATTTTGAAGATAAATTTACATTTAAATTTAAAAAATCTTAATTTAAGAGAGCGTAAATGCTTGTCGACATCTAAATTTCTTAACCTTTCATCTAAATCTTCATTTTTGAGATTCATTTTTTAAAAGTCAGTTTTTTGAAGATCATTTTGATAAAACCTTCCTATGATTTCTCGATCAATTCATACGTGTGAGGTGATGTGTTGTTTACTTTATCAACGATGAATATCTCGTTAGTCCAATAGCCAACGTAACCTTTCTGAAACAATGATTTATATTTAAAAATACGAACTCGATCTCCAACTTTGAATTTGGGTTTAATATTCAAATTGCTAATCTCGTTTTCAAAGTTGTTTCGAGTGTTGACGGATATTCGGGTTATTAGAGGATTGGGATGGCGTCACACCTATAGACGAATGTATTTTGTTATTGTATTCGTCGACAACAACTGGTAATATTTTAAGCCATTTTTGAGATTTCAATTCCGTGAATTTCTTGAATAATTTGCTTTTAAGAGTCCTGTTGAATCTTTCTATCACTACGGCTTTACCTTCGTTATGCGTGCTGTAAATTTCAAACCCCAGAGATTTCACATTTCTGTTGTAGAATTCGCTTTCTTTATCAACCCACAACTGTAGGGGTCGTCTGTCGGATTGTTTCATTATGATTTCGAATGCTTGTTTGACAGTCAGACCCGATTTGTTTTTCAAGGGAAAGACCCAAGCGTATCTCGTGTATATGTCGATCACCGTCAAACAATACTTGTACCCGCTCTCGACTGGCATGTTGATTAAATCGGCTGACCAAATTTCATCTTTATCAAAAACTTTGACTTTGAGGTAATGTTTGTTTTTTCGAAATTCTTTGTGAATCTCGTCTGCTATGCCCATACCCAATTTCAATTTTGCCTTCAAGAGTTTTACGATAAGAGCCCTTTGTAATTTCTCTTTGAAAGTGGGATTGGGAATATTTTCGAGTTCGTCTATCATTTGTTTGTCTGCTTGGTGTCTGAATGTTACGTCTTTATTTCTGTACAGTTTGTCGTGTTTGAGCGCTGCTGCGTCAACTCTATTAACGGGTTCTTCTCCTGGTTTGGGATTATCATTTTCGTCTAAACGCAGATCTAACCTAGTGCCTGGACCTGTATAATTGTGCCCTGGGAGATGTTTTTCTCCGGGATATTTTGCCCATGGGAATCCAGGAAGAGAACCCAATGACTTTTGAATGTCTCCCGCACCGAAATACGTTTTAGGAGGATGGACATTTATTAAAGACATATTTGTTCAATAAACACTATATATTTTTAATACGAAATATTTAATACAAGGAGAAAGCGATAGAAAATGATTCACTTTATGAAATTTTGTTTAAATATTTGGATAGAGACTAATAAAAACCGTCTACAACCTGGATGATAAAGAAAACAAGGAAGCCATTTTGATATGTATAAAGGGCGTTTTAATATGCTCTGTATTTTTCATTAATTATTCCATCTAATGAAGGGATAATAGGAATCTGATTGAGTTATTTAACAGTTCAAGATGTCGGACAAAGGAATCTTTCTTCAAATTTGTGTTTCTGAGACGAATTACTAGTGAATTTCTATGTTGACCTATATAGTCAACAATTACGTATTTACTTCCTTGTGTGTTAATGTAGTCTATATATATCATCTCCAAAATCACTACAGATTCATTATTTTTAACAGTTCAAGGTGTCGGACAAAAGGAATCTATCTTCAAATTTGTGTTTTTGAGATGAATTACTAGTGTATTCTATGTTGACCTATATAGTCAACAATTGCGTATTTACTGTGATACTCACTACACACCCTTTGTTAATTCTCTGAGACTTTCGAATATACTTTTCGCTCTGAGAATTGACCTTATAGGGGGAAATTGAAGGTATTGACAAAACAATAACAGAGTAGGCCTTCTGTTTATTCTACAGAATCATTTATCATAATTTTAAAACCATTGACTTTTTTTTATTTCGCATTCCTCTTATATGTTATTTCCTCCTGAGGAAATGAGGGATTTGTTGTTTGAGACAAAATTGGCCACTTTGGGGATGAGAGATGTTAGCGCAGAGAAGAAACCGTCTCCTTCGAATTTTTTTTGTTCGTGTTTTAAAATTAAAGACATTTTTAATGCGGTTATTTTATACTGTATTATTATAGTGATTCTTGTCTGTGGTTTGGGTAATTTATATGGAGTTTGTTATAATACATTTTAACAGTTTGGGGAGTGTGTTATAATACATTTTAACAGTTGTGTCTTTTCGGATATGACGCGTTGAAAAAGCTGCGCATGCGCAGAAGTGAAATGCGTCATATCCGAAAAGACATATACTACTAGTGTGAATTGAGATAATCAATTTTAAACATTATCAAAGGGAGAAGGACCTTAGTCGCGGAGACAGGAATATTTTAGTTGAGCTTATCATTAATAGAGTTCACAGCTGAGTGCAAGATTTGAGCCTTCAAATTCATGTGTATCCAGAATTATCGGCATTAAAAGGACTCCTCGTCTTTTTTCTTTAAACATTACCATAAATGGGAAAGACATTCATGTTTAAAGAAATAGTACATTTCGTACGTTTCTAGTATTTCTGAAGACTATTTACATATATCCAAGACAAAACTCAACCCCTGAAAATGGCGAAGGTGTCCCTTTAAAGTTCAGCCTTTATTATTCTGTTTATTGCAGGATCAATTTGAATTGTTTGCATCTTGTCTGTTAACTTTACGTTTATTGGGTAAGTTTCTTGGTTTCCTGACCTTCTCACCATATCATTCTGTTCACGGTCTACCTGATGATATACAGACCAACTATATAGAACTCAGAAATAATGTAAGTAATAAAGAAATTTCACACAATAAGCATATTATTAAATCGTTTGAGTTAGAATTTTAAGGTCATTCATGAGTTTTACTTTTGTAAATCTTATGTGTAGTAATTTGAAGTGTTGGTGGTTATTGTTTAATATTTTACAAAGGCATACTTCTTTTTGTTCCAAAATGTGTAGGGATATGGTTGTTTAAATGTTTGCTATACCAACTCAGCAATCAGTGTAACTTTCCAAAATTAAAATCTATTGTTTAGTTCTTCTACGATTTAAAAAAAGACACCAAATGATGTGTTGTTGTGTTATTTCAGCAGCCAAATCCTATAGATATATTAGAGTTAATGGTGGTCAGTATAAATACAGAAAGATTAAATATTACAATACCATGGATAATAGAATATCTTAGTATGATGGATAGAATAGCTCCTGTATTAAACTATTATCATAGAGTTTTATATTTATTACAATATATACATAGGTAAGTTGCAGGGTTCCATTCTTACAATCTAAATGTTTCTACAATAAGTCAAACTTAAAATCTATAGTAGCAATAACTTGATATGAATGAATTATCATTATAGGATAGCATCTCTTTAAATCTTTGTTGAGTTAGTTTCTCTTGCTCATCATGATGTCTCATCTTGTTTTTATGCCATCTTCATTATAGTACACTTTACTATTTGTTACTAAATGTCGTTTTTTTGTAGACTATCATGGAAATCAGTGAAAAAGGACAAATATAATTATGGATGTTTGATGTTAGTTTCAATGTTGGGTTGGTTATTTGAAGTAAGTGTTCTCAAATCTTTTTCACATAAATAGTTCTGGTGACATATTAGGTTTTATCTCATGAAGAAACTTGTATAAAAACTTATTCTAAACTATTCTAACATTGCTTTGAATATATTTTCTAGTCACCTATAATGCCTCAAGGTATATTTAAAATGGAAGAAAAAGATGAACTACAGAACATTATAGCTATAGATAGTACCAACTGTTCACTGAAACCTGTTGTAAGTTTCATTTCTGATTTTTTACAATGGTTTTACAGGACATAACTTCTTTCTATTTGAATTAACAATTTTCAGAATGAAAACTTGAACCTATATCTTTTCCAGGATAATTTAGACCTGGTCAGTCAAGAACTTCTGTATACAGTATGTCCATATTTAGGTAAGAAATTTGATGTTCTGCCAACGTAACAAGAAAAATTCAACTCAAGAAATTAAATGTGATGTCATTATTAAACAATGTATTATATAGTAAGAATCAGTGGGAAAATTACACATGAGTCGTTGTAGAGTGAAGAATGTTATGAAAACTCTTATATAAAGCACTGGTCATGGTCACAAATAAAGAGATCTGCTTCATAAAAAGGTGATATTTGAATCAGCGAATGAAAGTAATAGTGCATTATTTTATATTTGAAGGTGAAATAAGAACATTATTACTAGAGTTTGCTGTGGGTGCTAATAGTAAATCAACCATACGTAAAATAACACCTGTATCAGCTGATGATTTACCTGAACCAGAAACTGATAGAAATTTACAGGTAGGTTATCTATTTGGCGTTCTCATTATGTTTTGGTTTGGGTAAGACCAGTTGTAGTAGACCCTTGCAGTGTTCAGTGAAAAATCTGATCACTCAGACTGACTTTGAGTTCATTCTTGTAATATACACCAACAAGCTCACTATTTTAAATCTGATTGTACATTTGTGTCTTATTTGTCTCTTACAAAGAGATTAAACAAAATTCTCAACACATACTTCATCACGCAAGAACTAAAATTTGTTGCCATATTGTTCGAGTCTCATATACTTAGTTGCAGTGTCTAGTTTGCTTATTACCTTTGGATACAATATTACATTTGTTTGTCATATTGTATGATATCAAGGAATTTTGAATTTGAATATTTCAGACTCAACTGGAAGAGAACTTTTTTCACAATCATCCAGCAAGTATGAAGAGAACTGTGGAGTTTGTATCTGAGAGAACTGCTTCTAATTTCATCAAACATTTTCGAGCTACAGATTTACCGTGGTCTATATCTGAGGCAAAGTCCAGAGTGAATAGTTTATTACAGACGTTGAATAGTACTGTAGTTTCTCCTACCAATAAAATAAAGGTATGTATAAAATTTGTTTATGGTACTTGTAAAAAAAATTTCGAAATTGATACAGTTTTCACAATTTTGGTAGTCCAATATAATTAATAATACAAAATTGCTTATTATCAGATGAAAGGTTTCAGAGTTATTGCCCTTGACTTTGTAAAAAAGTGTCAATTTGGCGTGTAGGCAGGGTAGAGACTACAGTTTTTATCGGATCTTCATAAAACTATGTATGCCTGCATACTTATTCGGGTTTAACAATGGTAACAATTGGATAAACAATTTCAGAGTGATTGCCCTTAGTAAAAATGCATCAAATTTGGTTTATTGGCACGATAAAGGCTACAGTTATTATCCAATCTTCATAAAACTTGGTATGCATGTATATATTGATGAGATCTCAGTCAACCTTGTATGTATGTAACCTTGCCTGGCAAGCTATCTTTGTTATTTCTATTGTTTAAATTTGAGAGCAACTTGCATTTGAGTTTAATGATTCACAGATATATAGATATACAAAGACCTGCGTTTTTTTATTTCATTTATAGAGAAAACTATGATGACTCCTATATTAACAGTGAAGTTTTGTTTTTTAATAGGACCAGAATCATCAATTAGAATATAAGAAAATAGCCCAGAATCTATGTGAAGAAGTGAAGAGAAAAGTTTCTAATACCAAAAGAGAGTAAGTCCTCCCATAACTAAGTCAGACTAAGTATATCCTTAAATGTTTCTTAACATATTTACTTATTTTGGTGTAGATCTAGTCCTAGCTTAACCTCTGTTGTGTTCTTTATCAATAGAAGTAGAACTACCTAAAAATACAAGTGGATAAATGCTTGTGTTTATGTCATGTGTCTCTAAGATGTGTACAAAAAACTCTGGTTGTTCATACATGAAAATTCTGTCCTCCTCCAAGCAGATGCTCCATTTCATTTAATTTATACTTGAAAATTGTATAATTCATATTTATTCTGCCGTTATGTATAAATTTCTATTGAATCTTGTCGAATGATTGTTGTCAATATACAGGTACATGTTTAGAATTTCAAACTGTATGCTTGAAGCCAGATAAATGTAAGTTCTAATCTTTCATTTATAGATATTGTAGCTCGAGAGTGAATTCAGCATTGAAATTATTGCTTCCTGACGAACAGAGTTCAGCTGTAACCAATATGGCTGCCAGTATTTGTTGTCGTTTGGCAGAAGAAAGAATAAAATCATGGATTACTAATCATATTTCTACAGGTAAATTTTCATGAAAGTTATAATTTTTTTTTAAAAAATAAAGCATAATGATTGCATATAAGGAGGTTTATTATTGCAACAATTTAAATATGAATCGCTGGGATCTTGCACCTTAATGATAGAACAAAGGAATAGTTCAGTTAACATAGATTAGATTTTAATATGTTCATTTCTCTTGCAGCAATGTATTTAAAAGAAGTGAATACTGAAGCAGATAAAGTTTTTAAAAAGTCATTATTAGAACAATCATCCAATAAACAAATTAACATAGGAAATAGACTCGATCTACCAGTAGCATTATTGAATACAACAACTGAAGCATCGAGTTCTTTAACGAATGTAACAACTAAGTCAATTCTATCTCAAGCTGTGTTGATACCTGTATGTAGTGTAGAAGATAGTCATTATAAACATAGAGAAGATGTTATATCACTCTCTGATTTATTACATACTATACAGGTAGCATTTTATATCTTTCATAAATTTCCTTAATTAAGAAGCTGCAGATTTTGCTGACTCTTTTCAAGCATATGATAGTAGTCTGCAAGCATGTATTGAGAGTTCTCCAAAGAAATTCTGCAGGATTTTATAAACCCTTTCTTGGCCTTCAAACAGTTTCCCCTTTTGCAAACTTATAGTTATTATTATCAATATTATATCAGATTATGAATAAAGAAATGGTAGTGAATAGATGTTCTAGTCCAGATTACACCAGACTGATGATGGTTATGGAACAGACACATCATGTTCTACTATTTAAAGAGGTATGTATACTTGTATTGTTTTTATCTTTCAATAGAATTTAATCATTTATATCTTTTTATCCTGGTCCTTGTATTATTTTTTAGGACACAGTACCACAAGCTGTTCGTTCATTAGCTCAGTTAATTTTAGATTTAGCTATCTCAATTAGTAAGTGTTGTTTTTTTTTTAAGAATTTTATATTCTGTCCAAGTAGATGTATATTGTTGTAACTCATGTCAATCTGATCACGTTTTCAGGTAAATGCTATTTAATAGACAATTTCTGAATTATTTTGATATTAAGAATAATTTACGTGAATATTTAAGTTGTTATTTGAGCGCTTTTTGACAGTGAGATTGAAATTACACCATATGCAATATTCCAAAATAATGGAGGAATTTCGCCAGTGTGTGAAGTTTTGTAGAAACAAAGTGCTTACTACCCCAAAAGCTATCCCCCAAATCCTAATGCAACACTATATCATACTATTTCTTATAGGAGGCATATGATCCAAAAATATGGAGATTTCATTTAAATATAAACATGTATTAAACTAGAAATAATATGTTACTCTCTAATTCCAGTTAGCTATATGCCTGAGTTAATTACGGTAGAGTTATTGGATTGTTATAAAAGGTTGTATGAAACGGAATTAAAAGATGTAACAATATTTTCTATAGTTTCATCACCTAGATGGTTTTACTTATTATATACTAGTCCAAATAAACAGGTACTGTTATCATTTAGAATACATTTCACCCAAATACACCTGTTGCATGGAGCAAAGGGAGCCACAGTAGCTCAATGAATTAGATATTTCCTTGTTGAGTGTTTAATCTTGGCATGGGTCGAGATATAAAAATCTTCAGATTTTTTAACCCAGTAGTCTCTCCATGTTAGTGATGACATACATAAATATATATTTAAACTTTTTTTGAAATGATTGAAAAACTAATGCTGTTTTCCCCATTATTAATGCCAGATTTGGGCTAGATTTCTGACTATTGTGATAAGCTTGTTTGTGTATATGATGACTGTTTTATCATGTTGGTCAATTTGAAATGTATAATAATAATAAAATATGGCACCTTTATTTTTCAGAAATGTGTTCCAAGTTATGTTTTATTTATGTGTTTGTTGTTGATGGAGAATTTAATCACAATTGATATCTTTGAAAAAGGCTGTATAAAAGTGCTAAATTCATCAAATGTAGGTAATGTTTATGGTAAAAAAGTTTAAAAGTAAAACAATTTCAGGGTAGTTCATATAGCCTTACCATATTAATTCAAACTTTCATGAATTTAAATTATGGCTTTCCTCAATTGAAACACTCTAGGGCATAAATATAAGTATCTATAGACAATTCCTAGTATTGATGGGACCATTGACACTGTTAGTATAATTAGTGACACACTTAAATGAGATTGTCATTTTGATGATATCAAAGATGTACATAAATGATTTCATGAAGGGAGAATATTAGCATAACCAAAATTAAATTGCTTGAATCTTGAAGCATTAGAGATATAATCAAAACAACTTGGGGAAAGCTTATAATCTGCCCTCACCACCTATTCTTTTTACTTTCAGGTATATAAAGAATTAATAAAGACAATAATCTGTGATATAATAAAATACTTTAATTCTAACCAACAAGTGACTATAAAGTTCAGTAGTGATATATTAACAATACTACAATTAAATAATAATAAACATGATTTACAGACAGAGTTATCTCATCTTGCTATACATCCTAATATGACCCAAATCATGAAAGGAAAGATATAAACTCTATGACTCATATAAAGTCAGATTCAATGAAAATGGAGAATAAATTATGAATAAGAGTTTTACAATTTACTCTCTGCTCTTAATTGGAATAACAGTGTCACCCAATGGTGTTAAGAATTAATGATTGTGATATAAAGATTGGTGTGCCAATGAATTGAAGTGAAGTGGTACAGACTAATTTTCAATGCTACAATTTTATCAAATGACATTGACTTGCTCCTTACAAAAAAAATCATGATTTTCTTTAACATTTTTAACATTTACCATATGTCTTTCTGTAACTTAATTCATGTTTTGAAAAGCTGGAATAAAACTTTTGAAATTGATCAGTTATTGAATGAAAGAGATCACAATAATTAAAGAATTAAATTAATTGAAACAATTAATAATTCTAATTTACACTGTTAATACTTATTCTAATTCTATAAGTTTGGTCAGATTTCTTTTTCCTTGATAAAAACACTTTGTCATTATAAAATGTTTCTGTTTTTCTTGATTCATATTAAGGTAGGCTTGTATTGTAGTTTGTGAGACAACAAAATATAACCTTCTATATTCCTGTGGACAGAAAACATGTCTGATGCTCATTGAAAATAAAGAAATTGATGTTACCTGTTGTAGTGAAAGATACAATATTGGCTCCTATATCGACTGCAATTACCAATGAAAAAGAAGAATTATTAAATTGTCACATTTACTCTAGAATTTCATTGTGAGATTTTTTTGTGATATAGGAGCCAGAAAAAGAACTCTACAACTGTAAAAGTAATGTTTAGTCACACTCAGTAAAGGCGAAACCACATGCCTCTAACTGGACACATACAACCAACCATTAAACACATGGTATTACTTTATTTTTGGTTTAGCATGTCTACTTTTGTCTTTTATCTTTAATTGATATTTCTTCATCGAAAAACCTTGAATTATTAACATTTTCACTGCAATATTTTCAGTTGAACTTGAATGAACTACTTTAGCAATTTCTGATAGATCTGCATCAGGGAACAGCATTTTTAAACGCGAGATGGCTAATATGGGACTGTGATATTCTTTATTCACTTCAACATCTAGGATTTTACTGTCAAATTTTTCGTTAAATATCCTAAGCTTCTCCTTAAATTGACTAATTTGGTCCTCAGCTCCTCTACAAATTGACATTAGTCTACCATACCTCCAAGCTTCAACATCAATATCTACATTTTTCATGCGTGCAGACGTTGCTTTATAAAAACCTCCAATCATGACCACACTTATCAATCCAATAACAAGATAATACCAGAAATTATTGAGCCAAGCAGCAATACTTTGAAAATTTCTTTCCCCAAATATTCGCTTCATACGCAAGATAATATTTTCTCTATCATCAGACAAACAGTTTTGCCCATCACAGTATCCTTTATAATTGTTACATACTTCTCCCTTATGGTGATAAATAACATCTCCATTGGCATGATAAATACCATAATTAGAAGCCGGTAAACAGTCACAGTCTGTAATGTTAGTATATCGACAACACACCTTACACAGGTTTTCTTCTACAGATTCACATTGACATTCCTGAAGACCATGTAAATGACAGATACTGGCTGAACACATACCATCCATACAAATCTTTGTTCCAACATGGCATAACCTTCCATTTGGCATCTCTTGAGACTCTGGACATGAGGAGTTGACACCATTGCAATAAGATGCTGTTAAGCATTCTGTAGGCTGGCGACAAATCTGTTGACTTGAAGAAGATGTAACCTGACAGGTTGAATCACAGCATGGTGAAACAACTGGAGAACAGACCTTTCCTTCTGATCTATGTATGGTGCATCGGGAATCTGGTGAGCTAATTGGTGGGTCAGCTGGCGTACAACATGGATCAGTATAAGGACATGTTTTGGAGGTCCCACAGTCACACTCCTCTGTACCTTCTACAACACTGTTACCGCAGGTGGGACCAGAATATGTCTTTAAGCAGTCACCTTTATTGACAATGACAGGATACATGTTGTTCACACTGCATATTGAAAATTTTCTATGGTTTGGCTTTTCTCCTGAGTTCGAGTAAGGATCCATAATGTAACTACCATATACTCCACCAGGAGCACATTCAACATTATTTTGATTGTCATGTATACTTCCAAAACTGTGACCAAATTCATGAGTTATTGTTAATGCAGATTTTTGTGTGGGTATAAAAGTGCCATAATTAACATAAGTGACCAAGCCTGTGTTATAACTGCGATATCGACCATGTCCACTGTATATTTTCTCTTGACAAATACCACCAACAGCACCAAGAGGATTGGAATTTGCCACCCAAGCTAGCCCTACAATACCTCTGTCAAAATCTCTATATGTAAAGGCTATTCCCAAACAATATGAACCAAAATCATACTCTGTCAAAATATCCAGATAATGATGGACTGCAATGTTATCTGAAGTAAATTTATTATTAGGACTGTCTGCTGAGGTAAAAATTGTAATGTCTCCGATCACAAAACCTATATTATCTCCTATTCCATCACCATTAAAATCTGTGCTCCTGAAAATCAAATCAGCTTCCATGATTCCAGCTACCATTTCTCCAACAGTATTAGCTACACTTCCTCCTCCAACAAATTTAAAGAACTTTTGATCCGCCATCACATGTAAGACACAAGAGACTGCATTTGTACTCCGCTTTTGTCTTCTTTTTGTCTTAAAGTTTTTATTGTAATAAGATGTAACTAAAGCTTGTTTATGAAGATGAATGCTGTCCTGAGATGCACAGTTACTTCTTTGACCCTTCAGACCATTGATAACTTTCTGCACATCTTTATCATTAAATATTTCGCAAGTGAATTTTGTCATCTTTGTGAGTCTTTGTGATGCTTTTATAATTTCAAATTGTTTACAGTTAAAAAAGAAAACTTGCTGACCATGGTACAAAGTTCCATTGAAATACTCCTCTGTTAATCGAGCTATCAGAGATGTCTGATTGTGTTCAAAGCTTCGTCCTTGGTAAAATCCTGGAATGTCAAGTTTGCCCTTCTCTATGGAAATGTTATCCACCATAATATGCATGTTTGGATGCATAACAAAATATTGCCGTAGAAAGAGCTCAAACTGTGTATGTCGAAGCTTGAATTTTGCTATTTCAGTGTATAGAAAATTATTCTTACTCAAGTGAGTTTCCTCTAAATTTAGCAACATCAACTGCCCTTGTCTCTCAATGGAGTCACTTGCTATTTGATGACTCAATAGTAATGGAATTAGGAAACTCAAAGAGGTATAAGAGTACATATTTGTGATCTGACTAGGCTTTTAAACCTGACATTTGTATTTCCCGCAACAACATTATTTCAGAACATCCAGACTCAAATGTATAATTGTTGAACAGCCGAAATCAAGAATTACGACAATCCAAATGCTTTATCTTTGTATTTTTTTTATAAACAGGATATTTTCTATTAATCAATTAATGAACTTGGTAATATTTTTTCATACCAGTAACATCAATTTCAGAGCCATGATCCTCGCGATACGGGTCTTACTCCCAACTGGTGTCGATCGGAGCAAGCAGGTGTTCTGCAGCGCCATCTGTACCAACCGGAAATGGTAATAACTGTAAACAACGTTTCTGAATATCTGAATTTACTCACTCCAAAATATTTCAATATTTCCCACAGTTGTTTCTGTAGACCAAGAGGATGAGTTGTTTTTATACATATTGTGGAATCCAAGGATGTATGGATCATGTTGAAAAGAGAAATGATCTTCTGGATTTCTTAGTTGAGAGAACGGTAAGTCTTAGACCTATCAATTCAATGTCATCAATCTATACCTTCACCTAAGTTGTTATATTTAATATAAACATAACAACATATACTATAATTGAGTAAGATTGTCTTCTATTTCGTGAAAATCCTGCTCTTATAAGTATCCTGTGAAATGGCTACAGATTTACTATGTTTAATATAGGGCACTGACAGGAGTGAGAGGACCCATGACTTAGGAACATTTTCTGCTTTAACCTTATGGTGACTATCATGAATCAACTGATTGACAGATTGACTATTTCCTTCCTGATTAACTATTTGACACATGTTATGTCATATTTGTAGATATGTTATTGAGATAGATAAATTTATTTTTTCCTTTTAACATTTATATGTAGATTATAGGAGATGAGAATGTTTATGTAGTTTATAATGGTAGAATATTACAAGACAATGAAGATATACACCCAGATCAAATGTACCATGTTATACCTAGATTGGTTGGAGGAAAGGGAGGTAATATAATGTAGTGATATATTTGTAAAAGGCAAGACTGAGATTGACAAATTGTTTTGAGATACATATTTGATGTATCTAAGGGAGGCCTTTAAGAGGATGGGGAAAATAACTTTGATTCTCCATTATAAAATAATTGGTTCTTGATCATTACTGCTGGCATCAGATAAAGCTTTTTGAATAACAATTATGGGGAGGATGCTCACTGGAAATATAAGATAGGGCGGTAGGCCCACACAATGGTAATTTAAATTAATTGTATTCTTCAAACCCAATATCCTGAAAAATTCTTTCTACATTTTCTTTACAGGATTTGGTTCTATGTTACGAGCTATTGGTGCTCAAATTGAGAAAACAACCAGCCGTGAAGCCTGTAGAGATTTGAGTGGTAGAAGAATGAGAGATGTCAATAATGAGAAGAAGTAAGTAGAGAAATTAAACTGATTCAGATTTCATATCTGTTTATCAAAAATCAAAGTGAAATGAAAGAGGTTAAAATGAAAGATGAAGCATGGAGAGAGTAATTAAACTCACTGAATTGGCGATATTAATCATTATATTTTTTTCACTGTGGTGTTTTTGGATATTTATGGCTAGCTAGTATTGTATGTTCACTTGACTTTCTTGGGAACACAATATCATCTGTACAACTTGACATTTATCAGCCAATTAACACCTTCACGGCTAGTCATATGATAAGTAAACAACTGAACTGGTATTTTATAGGTTGAAAGAATGGTTAGGTAAACAGTCTGAAAGGGAGAGAGAAAAAGAAGAAAAACGGAAAGAAAGAATAGAGAGAAGGAGAAATAAACCACAACATAAATTTGATGATCCAACATTTTTTGAGCAGAAAAATAAAGTGGTAGAAGATTTAGAAGATGCTTTACAAAAAGGTAATGTGGCAACAGCAACACAGGCCACATTTGGGTGATGCGAGTAGGACATGGGCCACATAACCAACCATCAATGAATCATGGAATTAACATGCAGTTTTTTCAAGTCATTTACTCAATAATGTATTTCAATGTGCATTGCAAATAACATACACATTTGACGTAAGTTCACTGTTTCACACAAGGTCAAACCTCGTTAACCTCAATTGATTAGATTCATTGCACAGGCCTGGTTTACATGTTAAAATTTGATGGCTCAAGTCTGGCTTTCAAATGTACATTTTTTGAAATTATTTATCTCATTCATTATTCAGGTTTAAAAAAATCTAAAGGTGCCTCAGCCACTGTAACATCAGAAGCAGCCAGTGGGTCTGGTGAATGTAGAAAAAGAAAAGCCACAAACAATGGTACAACAGGAAAAATAAAGAAAAATAAGGGATGGTAAGTTGATGAATTTATACAGTAGAATCAGTCTTAATTTCACTCTTGACTCAAGGACATCCTAGTGCTAGGATCTTTTTTTTTAGAATAGATGGCAAACATTTTTTTATTTCAATTTAAGAAGTCACTCAAGTCAGGCCTTTGCTGTATTAACAAGAAACTTGAACCTTCCTTCTAATATTAAATTTATAACTTCTCATGTTATTTTATCAAGTGTTGGAAGACTATGAGAGAAACACATTTACATTGCATAAACTGTAACGAAGCTGTTGTATATTCATGCATGTAGAGTTTTCTGATTGATCTGTTTTGCATATTGATTTAAGAGTAAGAGTAACTGTTTTAGTGCAATACCTGTGGATGTTATTGGTTATTACAAAACAAGTGTTAAACAAATATGTGTCAATTTTAGGCTTGGGATAGATCCAGATTTAGATTTGAGTGACCTGGATACCAGTGATGAGGATGAGGGTAAGACGGGATCATGTAGTGACAATAATTCTAGTAATGAATCTGATAAAACATCCAATACAGAACAAGATACAGAACCTAAATTAACTTCAGAAAGCGATGACAGTGTCAAAATACAAACTGAGGAAAATGTTGAAAGTCCAAAAGAAACTAAACAGTCATCATTATTAGAAATTTTACCACCTCCAGTCAGTGAAAATCAACCAAATTTAAATAATGAGGTATTTTTATGATTTACATTTCTTTGAAAATAATTCACAAAATTGGGTATTGTGTGGTCTTTAGCCTGTGGTGATTTTACAACACTTTAAGAAAGGTAGTCAGCAGATAAGAAATGTTTTAAACTCAACCAATTGACATTTTGCATGCATTATTAACTCAATGTCAAAAGTATTTGTCAATGCATAAGATTGTAGCCTTGAGATATGCTGTCAATTGTTTAAAGCCTGATGTTAAGCTATTTCAGTCAACCTGTTGGAAAAAAATGTACAGCGCTTGTTGAAAACTAATTGCAAATTTTTAAATTTTAGCCGATAGATCTAGATAAGTATAATTCTGTAGAAGAGTTAGAAGCCTTAGGTTTAAATAGATTGAAGAACTCATTGATGGAAAAAGGATTAAAATGTGGTGGAACATTACAACAGAGAGCTGAGAGATTGTTTTCTATTAAAGGTTTAAAACAGGAAGATATAGACCCTTCACTATTTTCAAAACCATCTAAAAAGAAAGGCAAGTGAGATGAAAATGTACCAGCAGAGTGGGAAATTATCGATTTAACATCACCAGTTTCATTTCCAATCATTTTATCAGTCTCATCAAAATGATTTCATTTGCTATCAATGATCTGACAAATTGTTAAGCATCTCATATATTGAATCAATCCAATGCTTTGTTTGATGAAAGTTTTATTATATGCAGATAAAGAATGTGTCAAATCTGTATCTCATTATTTCATACATACAGATCAAGACCTAGTCACATATTTTAACTATCTTTGTAAGTTATTACCTTCAGAATGGATATCCATAATTACTGTAAATAACACTGATTTTATATTTGTAAATACTTCTGTATATTATTTACTGGTATTAAAATATTTTGATAAGTATCACATTCTTTTATTCAAATATGTTCATAGTTTAATTTATATTGTACAGGGTATTTTCAGAGACCTCTATGATAAATGGCACTAAACTAATACAATGAATTTGTATGTCCTTAACCTTTTTACACGAGATTGGGATAATGAAGACAAGCACTGCATAGGAGACTCTCATTTGGTTAGTTCTGTCCAGGTTCAACCTGTTCCAATTGAATGGCACAGAACCAGATGTTACTCAAATTTCCCTTCTGTCTTTCACCTTTCTTGTTTAGTCCCATTCCATATCGTTTTATTGATTCCATGACCAATCAAGTGCCTCAATACCTGTTGCTCACAGGGCCTTGGTTTATTGTCACATTGTAGAAACTAGATACTTTAAATGTCAACCGCTCTTATCTGTTGAAAAAACCGAAAGTTTTGTCTTGACCAATACCAGGAATTGAATTGGGTTAGAATAATTTTTATATTATGTATCAATAAAGAAAACTAATCTACTAAACATTTTATAAATATGGTTTAAACTACATGGTGATAATTATATACATGATTAAAAATATTTAAATATGAAAATATCTCTAAAAAAAAAAAGGGTTGAAAATAACTTTAATTTAAAATGTATTCATTAAAACTGCCAATATCACCCCAATTACCAAATATTCATAGCATACTCTTGCCTTTGTTGCTTTCATTCATTGCCCTCGAAAAAGTACACCCACAACAATTGTTTATTGATAAGTGATTGCATCTGATATGACAATTGTTAATTCATTGGATTTTAGTTATTTTGAAAAGTTATTCATCAGTGATGAATTGGCATTAAAATTCTGGGTTAAAATCAATAAAAGCACTATTTGACTGAATATCATTATGAGCTGTCTATCATTGGAGTAAAAGGTACATTCAAACTAAATAAATCATTAAAGAATGTTCCATCATTGTCACCACCACCAAATATCAGTATTTCATCTTCTTGCTGGTTCTCATAACTATAGGGTAAACATAGAGCCACATGACCTGCCCGAGGTGATGGCGTTGATTCTACTTTTATTTTCATCCATGTTAACGTATCTGAAATGACAAGAAAAGTTCGAAGCTGAAAAATGATAGTAAAAGTTTGGTGTTCCTCTCACAAAAATTTGGGATCATTCCACACGATTGACTTATAGTAGTTAAAACATGTAAATTATAGAGCATTTACATTAAACGTCTGCATAGATTTGTAGGCCTATAAAAATACTAACCCAGATTAAATATAGAGGTATCATCTAGAGCATCATTACCATCATATCCACCATGTATTAATATACGACTACCAGAACTTAATGCACACGAACTATGCCAGCTGAAATATAGATAGACAAGTGTTTGATTCTTAGGTACTGTCCACTACAACCTTATGGTAACACTAGATATTGACAGTTTCCCCTGTGATAATTGATTTACAATTCAATCCATAGAATTCACTGTTGGTAGTAATTAAAAAGGAATGACAATATACCTTCTAGGTTTTGGTGGAGTTCCTTTAATATCTGGCTTTGACCAATCACATGTGGCTGAAAACATTTACAAAATATTCAATATAAAGAACACAAATTCGTCCAACCAATTTAGCAGTGGTACATGATTTTTTTCAACCAATGAACTTTTCTGCAAGTTATAGATTTAGTCTTTTGAATTGAATTTCATAGATGTTCTCTATCTGATAAATAAACATACTTACTCATATCTAATATATGTAAATCATTAAAAACTACAGGATAATCCCAGCCTCCAAATATAACTAACTGATCTCTTATCAGGGTAGCTGAATGTCTGAAATAAATCATAAATAAATAACATTTATAAGTTTATAACACTACACAATAATTCTAACACAACTGCGCTAACAGCCTAAGATCTAAAGAATTGCTAAAATATGGGAACTAAATAACATTCTATAACACTTCCATATCATCACAATACAGATGAGAAAATATGCTTACCCAGATCTAGGTGCCGGTTTTTCACCAGTAACAATAGGATCATACCAGTTCTCCATGACAGGACTAAATATATGTATATCATTACTAGAACCATCAGGATTAGGATCTGGTCTTGGGTAAACTCCACCAAATATCCACACTTCATGTCTGTATAATGTAGCACTATGATAGGCTCTTGTTGGCGCTTTGCCATTAGCCTGAAAGATGTAATTTATAAATGTGCTTTATCAATCAATATTGAAAAAAAGAAACTAGTGGTTTTGAAGAATTTAGTCCTTGTAAGCTTACTTTGTAAATTCACTGTATCCTTCAAAGATTAGTTTTGTCAATATAAAATAATATTAACATGTAAACCAGTCAAAATAGCTTGAACATAAGAGTACATAAAGGAAATTCTAAAGAACTTACTTTAACAAGCTGCCATTTCCAAGAACCAACATCTAATGAATGAACATCTTTAAACCATTTGAGATTTTTCGAACCACCATAAATATAAATACATCTAACCATAGGATCATACGTGGCAGAATGTCCCATTCTATATTCTGGTTTTTGATTGTCTGATATCAAATCTTCTTCATTCCATTTTCTTGTGTCTGTAAGTTCATATTACACAAGTTTATATACATGCTCATAAGATTTTCTGGAGAAACTTGGACAAGATGCTGATAAAGAAAGCATTAATTTTTTAAATAAGAATTGTCATGTAGGTCTTTGAAAGTGTAATTAATATGTCAATTTACCTGGTGCCAGAGTCCAAACTGAATCTCGACTGAGTTGTTGTTTATCACCTTGTCCCCCAACTAATACAGCTTTATTATCATGTACCATACACATGGAATGTCCCCATCTATTTGTAGGGTTTTCAACTAGAATATAAGCAAAAGCAGATATTGGGACTGATGGCATACAGAATAAAAGATGTTGATAAATACTTTATTAGTAACAGTACACTCAAATTTTAACATTTACTTATCTCTCTCCAAAGGATTTATTTCAGATTTTTAGGGGAAAATGTTAAGCTAAACAATCTGATGCTAAGAATTCTGAATTCTTAACAAGAGCATGGTGAATACAGAATTAATACATGTTCATACAGCATTATAAAATACATTGATGTCAAACTGAACCCAATATAAAAAGTATATATTATATGCCAGTCTGATCATTTTTCATACTTACATCTAGTAGTGACATCTTTACAATATGAAACTTTCTGTCCTTCAGTTGCACCATTATCTTCATTGCTTTTATCTCCTAATACTTTCTTAGGTGTCTTTTTCTTTTTAGGTGTTTTACTGGGTGTTTTGAATTCATTTTTCAAGGTTCTCATTCTAGTTGTGGCTTTCTGTTTAGTTGGTGTGGGACCATTAGGTGTTTTATCTGTACCATCTCTATTTCGTTTCTTAGATCGTGATCTTTTAGGAAGAGGTGACGGAGTGCCTAAAATCTAAAATCATATATAATGCACTAATCAACTTAAATCTTAACTTATTTTAGTTACACATTGCATGAAATACAATGAGACACAGTGCTTACTGATACAAATAATAAGAAGACAAAGGTACCAATTCTCTAGTCTTTATCAATTTCAAACTGTCAAAAGATCTTGGATATTCATCCAAAGCAAAGAAACCTGTAGTTTTGTTGACTTGTCACTCCTATTTTCATGCATTTGTTATAAAACGTTGAAAATCAACTTTTTTCCAAATCAATGGCCTGATGAGGATTGCATCGTGAATTGAATTGACACTTGTGAAAGTAGTAAGGTACCTGTGGTGTATTTTCCATCTCAGCTTGTAATGAATCAGTATCTAATATATCAGAGTCAATATCTATACCACTATCTACTGCAGTCACTGATTGTATCTCTGGTAGTAAAACAGGTGGTTGTCTTAATTCTGGTGTATCAACTCTGAGTATAGCTACACCTGACTTATCTTCTGGTAATTCTAGTTTATTATCATACTTCTCCCATATAATACACCTGTAAATACAATACTCAGTTACTTTCATATATTACAATATTTAACTGTATTTGCAATGATTGCAGTTTAAATGTGCATAATTAGACCACGCTTTGACTAAGGTATAGTTATTATTTTTTATTATCTACATGTATGGTTGTGTCTAATTTTATCATTGTGGTTGCTAGTTGTTTTCTTTTTACATGTTGTCAAATTTTAATAATCTTCGAATGGGTTATGACATTTGCATTTACACGAGGGTTTAATAACCTTATCATACCTATTCTTTTGTGATAGGTTTCCGAGTAATACAGTTACTTCATTTTTAACTGTGACTGAAACTTCCAATGGTTCTGCACAAATTTCTGGCCATTTACCAAGTGCAAATACAATCAACTGGTCTGCTGTTAGTTTGATATCATCAGAATAATAACTACTATCTTCATTACTGAAAATAAAATGTTAAAATCAGCAAAAAGCAAATGTTATAAAACCTTGCAAATTCTCAATCATAGGCCTATTAACTGTGAATATGATGAGTCAAATCACATCTCATTAGCATTTTATCTTTTTCTTAATTTAAATACTTCCTCTTTGTCTACCACCACCCCCCTCCTCTTAATCTCTAAGGTCTTTAAACATGTTGGTCGTAATGATGTCAGTTGACATCAAGCGTTGTTCAAGATGTGATCTGTTGGGGCAAAAAATCATTAACCTATCCGAACAAAGTCAATGTAGATCCGATCAAATAAAATGATCACTACGTGAACAATAAAAACAGGGAGGTGTCTCACCTGGACAGTTCTGCTGGTGTTTGTTTTAGATCTGACACACAGAATAATCGAAATTCAGACATAATTTACCAGTAATCAGAATCTAATCAGTGATAAAGCTAATCACAACTCAGTTTTACTCAGTTTGGCTTTCTTTTTGTAAACAAATTTAGCGCGTACAAATTCCCGCCAAGTCAGAGTTACGTCCCTTCTTTTCATTCATAATGGTGGCTCTGAGCCACTGCCCACGCATAATCCTATGGTGGTCCGTTTAGGACACACTTTTTTCTGTTCTAAATTGTTTTGTACAATTTCTTTTGCTGCTTTTTGAATCATGATTTAATCATGAAATTGAAAATAAAGTAGATCTAGAAATCATTCAACAAAAACTGAAAATAGAAAACTTATTATAATAATTATAAGAAAATAAGGCATATTATTGTCCTAAACAAACCGTATGTCGAACGCTTTTTATTTGAAATAGACTATAGTGATTCAGCATTATAACGCAATGAATAAGTCAATAGTAGAAATCACAGCAGAATAGAAAGGCATAGAATAGGATCCAATCAAGACAAGTGAAGCTGATTAAGGGCCAAGATGAAATTGAAAATCCACGTTACATATTGGTGATTAAATTTAAATAGTTTTACTAATTACTAATATTGTCTAGATAAGGTGCCAAGTGCATCTTGATTTGAAGTTAACACAGACGTCGCACTGTTAGTTGCTAAGGGGTAGGTGTAGTATGCCAACTTCTCCACACACCCCCTCCCAAATGTTCTATTTAATTATTGTTCAATTGACTGTTTTTCTATTTGATCTCAATTTAATTCAGACTTGGATTGAAATATACTTAAAAATCTTAGAATGTGTGTTATGAATGAAGTTAATACATATGTTGGTGACCGCTATCCTTTGAGAATTGATGTCACTGTTGATTGAAAGAAAATTTGTTACATATGGCAGAATGAAAATCCGGGTTACTTAATGTCTGTATTATAAGTTTGAAACAAAAATTTCAAGTGAATGACCCTCTGAATTATATTTTATGTTAACTTCTAATTAACTTTTTTAAATTGACATTTTTTCCAGTGGCGGATGAGGTTACGCCCCCAAGGTAAATTATTTATTCTAATTGTATTTCCTGTACTTAAATTCCTTGTACCTATATCAATACGATATATTGTATGTTAATTACTTGTCTTTACCTGCATCATATAGAAGATTATTTTCAACGCTTCAAAAACTGACAAAATGAAAATTAATTGACCTGATAAATCTTGCTAAATTATTATTTACACTTATCAAAGTATCAGTAAATTGGTACGGTACATTTTCTATATGGGACATCATCTTTTTTTTCAGTACAGAGCTGTGAAAGCAGCTTTGGAAGAGGAATTCCCTAACCAGTTAGAAATTGTAAGTAGGCCTACATTAATGAATAGACCCACATGGTATTGCTGATCAAACACGTATATCAGGTGTCCCAAAAAAAACATCCCAGCTGAGATACTACCTGTGGAACTGTGGGATGTTTTTTTTGAGACACTGAAAGTGACAAGATATATAAGCTTATCTAAAGTACAAGTTTCCCTACTGAACATAACCAAAACATTATTTTGAGATTTGGTCAGAATGATGCAGATGATAAGATCGATAAAAAAGAAAATAAGATAATAAATAAGATAATAAAAAAAAATCTCAAGATTATTCTGTGTTGAACCCCTAGACCCCTGATATATTAATATTAATTAGTTACTAGTTTGATACTTTTTTTATCAAGATTCTCAGTTCTTTAAGGTAAATTTAGAATGATAACTATGTTAGCTTATTATTTATTGTTTATATTAATTATATTTTAAGACGAGTGAAGCAACTCCTAATACATCTGGTTGGCTGGAAGTCCAAATCATTGGGGGCAAATTATTACATTCTAAAAAAGTAAGTAAGAATAATTTCATGTCAAAGATTGGAAGAAAAAAAGCATACAATGAAGTTTTTATGTTCATTACAAGATAAATTCAATAAATTATAAAAATACAGTGTCAGATATCCACTATTTATCCTGCTCTTAGCAGACTGATCACTATATTATAAAAGATACATTTCTGTTGAACTGCAAGATAACCAGGCATCAGACTTCTGTTCTGGAATGTGATACAGCTAGCTAAGGTTCAGCTGGTAAAAGTCTGGTAAATCTTAAATATGATAATTAGTATGATAAATATAATATTTCCACTTCATAGTTCATATTCATGACATATATGAAATCCTTTGCTTTAATACAATTTTTAGGGGGAAATAATCAAATCAAATTCATATTTTCTATATTTATATTGTATTATAATTTAAACAGAATGGAGATGGATATATTGATAATGATAAGAAATTACAGAAAATATTTGATGGTGTTAGAGAGGCTCTAAATAGTCAATAAACCACAGTTACTTGAGTTATTAATAGTTACAGGTAGACAATTTATATAGCATCTTATCCAACTCAAATGCACAAGAGTTGCATTTGAAACATATGACAGCTCTTCTTATCGCAATCATTCGCAATTCAATTTTTTTAATATATTTATTGTATTTTTCAGATTAGATATTTGAGTAATATTATACCAGATACTTGTTGATGATTGGTTGTGACTAAAGACCGTAGGTCATGTGATAATCAGGATGGTACCAAGTCATCTGGAATAATATTAGTTGACCTGTTTATTCTGTTTCTTAATTAATTGCCCTTTAAATTTAAATAGCTTTGTTAGTGATTTATATGTTCTGTTTCAATAATGACAATTACTAGTACTTAAACATTTCTTTTATAAGAATGCATGAACACAATATGAATTTGAGATTACTTTGTGATACTCTTTAGACTAATTAATCCTTAGAATGATACTTTAAGGCAACAATTCGAATTTTGGCTCTGTTGCATGAAAACACAGACACCAGATTCTGGTAAAAAAATAAATGTATAGGCTACTGTAGTACAACATATGATTTTTATTTTACCAGAATCTTATGCCTGCGAATGAAAATACTAATTTTCAACAGTTTAGACTTCCTTGATACTGATCATTACATTTCCTTCTTATATACAATGTTTTTTTCTCGGTGAATCTCATTATTTATTTATAAATTTTTATTAAGTTTGTGAAATAAATTATTTTCAAAGCAAGTAAAATAGTTATATATGTGATGACGAAAGATGACTGGTTTTTATATTAATTTTGTAATGCACTGGTTTTTCCCTTTAGTGAATTTGTGGCCTTTTTTTCATTCATGATAGTTTGAAATTAGTTGAGCTATTTCCCAACAATAACCTCATATTACTACTACTCAATGATTCTGCATTTAGTTTTTGATCATAGAACTGTAAATGTAATACAGTTCTAGTTTCAATTGATGCTTGATAAGTTGGAATAATGTTACAAGAAAGTAATACTTAAAGTCTACACATTTAAGAAACAGTCTATAAATATTCTGCTTGAGATCTATGAAACTGAAGTGAATAGTACTCGTCATAGCCAAAGTCAACATTGTTACACAGTGAGCTGTAGGTAGGACTGTATAGAAAGTTTGGTTTAATTACAAGACAGGACAGGTAACAGAAATTTGAGAAAAACCTGACAAGATGGCTCTGAAGATTCATGTTATATATTGGTAAGAAAAATATATATAATTTGGTGTTCACTGTTTGCATGTGTAGTCATAGGGGAGAGTGGGGGATGGGGGTAGAGAAGTCGGACACCATTAAGGCGATTCGATTTGGATACTTTGTCACAAAAATACAATTATTGTATTCCAACATGAAATCCATGTGCCAATTAGATGAAAATTTAGAAACAAAATTAAGACAGTTTAAACGACCTTTTTGGCAACTGTTTCGTCTGTTAAGTTCACAAACAAATTTTGTCATATTTTTCCTAAGTCAAGGGCAATAACTCAACATCTTTCATCGAAAGATCATCAAAGGGAATTGTCATGCTTGTACTGAATTTTTATCTACATAAATATATGAAAGAAAAAGTGCATAAGGTGTCCACAATAGACAGGGGTTGATATCCCGAAGAATTCCATTTGTCCACAAAAACAAACTAGGCTGAAGACAAAGAGGTGTAGTAACCTTAAAATTGTAACTCTACCGAAACATCAATAAAAGATGCAAGATATTTATTCATGACCCATATCACCCCAAATTGGCGAACCTGTCCCTTTCTGTTCCTGTATGTAGTTATAATTAAGATGGATAGATAATATATTAACATTGTTTTTGAATTTATTGGTACATGTAGTAATTTAGATAGATGGATAGATTATATTCACAATAAATTAAACAAAATCGGTTCATGTAGAAATAAAGATGAATAGATAATAAATAAAATATAAAGATATTTTTGATGTTAACTAAATTATTTCCTGTATTTCAGTGGAGCATGAGGCTACGCCCCCAAGGTAAATATTTCCTTGCTTATTGTTGATCTGCAAGGGTTAGTCATGAACTGTCAAATTTATATACCATTTTAAGTAGTAAATTTACCCATTCTGATCAATGTGGTTTCAGAATTGATAAAAAAAATTTCCGATGTACTATATTTTATTTATTTAAAAAAAGTATTGGGTCACTTGAAGAAATATTAAACAAAACTGACTGTTAAATGTAGCTTGAAATAATATTTGTTTTAATTTCAGTACAGAGCGGTGAAGGAAGCTCTGGAAAAGGAATTCCCAGGACAATTGGAATTTGTAAGTAGACCTATTATTTATAATATTTACTGGTACTCTGTAAGTAGCTAGATAATACAATGGGTAATATGTTGTGGTGAAAGTATAAGTTATAGCATATGTCAGTTTCTTTTTAATATTTCTACTCTGTTATGGTGTTATACTGTTATCAAGCTGAAATACAGTTCATCCACCTGATGATGAAAAGTTCTTATTGAAACGGACTGTTAAACTTGACAGAATTTTCATTTTCATTTCAAGACTAGTGAGGCAACTCCTAATTCAACTGGCTGGTTAGAAGTCCAGATCGTTGGGGGCAAATTGCTGCATTCTAAAAAAGCAAGTACTTTTACCATTTATAAACAACAACATCTTTCTATTTGGAAATAGAATTTTGGCATTCTTATCCTTCTGAAGGTTAACAATTCCTTGCTTTCAAATCTGCCGTTTTAATCCAGATTCAGTAAAAATAATGGTTTGTGTATGCTATATATAAACATATCTGGGCGTGTGATATTAACCCCTGTTTTTACGTCCTACTTTTCTGCACCAAAATGGACCATGCCATGCAGTGTGCAATAAGTGAAATTTTGCTACAACAGAAACATAAGCCTGCTCTTTTTTCGATTTCCAAATGTCAAAGTGTCTTGACATAGCATTGTATTCACCTGAACAGTTGATTCAATTTTCTGAACAGGTATTTATATCTTTACATTGTGTTATATTTTAACAGAATGGAGATGGATATATTGATAGTGATAAGAAATTACAGAAAATATTTGATGGTGTTAGAGAGGCTCTAAATAGTCAATAAAGTTGAGTTATAAAATAGTTACAGGTATGATATATAAATACTTAACATAACAAGGACACAAAAGCTGTTGGATTTCCCTTTTGTAGATACGCCCGATTTACAATATGAAAAGTAACACAGTAATAAAATTCAGGTGAATCATTGCCAGATGATGTCTTGTTTCACTTTTTGTTAATATTTCCTGATATGAAATTACGAAATATTAGTAAAAAATTTGTATTTTTCAGATTAGATATTTGAGTAATATTATACCAGATACTTGTTGATGATTGGTTGTGACTAAAGACCGTAGGTCATGTGATAATCAGGATGGTACCAAGTCAGCTGGAATAATATTAGTTGACCTGTTTATTCTGTTTCTTAATTAATTTCCCTTAAAAAATGAATTTATATAGCATTGAAAACTGTTCATATAGACAAAATATTTATTTTATTTAAATTTAAAAATTAATGGTTTAGTATTTATAAGTTTATCAGAATGTGTGATAATCATATATTTCAAACTGCAGGGAAGGATACATATTATTATTATTAAATGAATCTCCATGACAAACTTTATCTATTTGGTGTTCAGTGTGAACTTTATATGTCTTCTTTTTGTTTTTATAGATTGATTTTAGTCTTTTGCAATAAATTTTTTCAAAGAAAAGCTTAGCTTTGGGTTTAAGTGGATTACTAAGACAAATTGTAGGCCAGCAGTGGAAAACTTTCAGAGGGACATAACTGAGGCAAAAACCAGGGGCTTGATCAACAACAATGAGCCTGTGTTCCTAATCCTATTCTGTTAATAGAATAAAAACGCAAATATCATCCAAACTGCAAAACAAAACCCGAAATTTAAATGAGCGAGTTTTTCAGGTAGTATCTGAAGAGGAGTTCAGAAGAGTAGGCATACCCTGCCTCCTCTAAAATTAATTTTGTTTATTATTCCTTGAAATACAAAAATTGTAGCTAAATTTTTTTAATAAAATCTATAAATAATGAACAATTTATACAAATTCTACCTACATAAATACAATTACAATATACAATTTCTATGATCGAAAGCATATTTTGATGTGCAAAATAAAAAAAAACACAAAGCTGCATCACTACAATTTAACCAATTTAATAGGTTGCCTTCACAACAATTCACCCAAAATCCAATCTGTAACCAAGCTTGTTAAATTTGGCTGAATATGCACATGTGTGTTTCTGTTATGGTATTAGCCTACAATTTAAGCATTCCATAAACTAATTGATACAAATTGGTTATTTGATATACATATATCTCCAAAAGTAATTCTGAGCTAATTCTTAAAATTAATATATGAAACTGACAATAGTATATTGTTGAAAGTACTTGAATACTTCTCTGAGTTACTAAGTTCGGCTGTACAACAGCTTAATGAAATTATTCATAAATGAAAAAAATAATTGCAATCATTGCACGAGACCAGCTCTACATTGAAAAATCAATTAATTAAAACAATTTGTTTTGTACAAGTGATGAATGTTTTTACACAATATATATTTTAATTGAATATATTATAGCATTAAATAGAGTATACAGATACCTTCAAATAAAAAGAAATGGACATTTATGTCCTACTTTTCTGCACCTGATAATTAAAGGGGCTGCTTGATCGGTGAATTCTGCAAGTGCTTCATGGAATCAAGCGTACATTCAATAAACCAAGTTGGAACAGAGTTCAGAATGTGTTCCACATGTGCTGGGCAGACAATATTCAAAATGGCAAAGAAGGAAATGGATAGGATAATATTGAATGTGACATATTCAGCTTCCATAATGTTCAATTGAGGGCAGAATTGGAACAAACAGAACCTGTTTAGAACTTTCTAATCATGCTTCACCCTAATCTATTCAAAAGGAATTAACAATGTTCCACTGAATGAAAAACAATTACAGCTCAGAAAATTAAAAAGTTCTACCAGCTTGAATAACATAAATAAGGCAACATGCATATTTTACAATAGTGCACATAGGACATGTCAGATAGTCTCTATTCACTATAGATAGAGCAACAGAAAACCTTTTTGATTTACAAGCTTTTTTTAATTATGGGCAATGGGATGTACCAAAGGAGTTCAAGTTAGGACATTGGCAGTGCACATTTCACTGATTGAGTATAGACATCTTTCTAATCCAAATAAACTTTATTTGGCAGTTGTTACCAGTCTATCTTAAAATCGTCTTGACTTGTCACATTATCTTACATCTTCGAAACTAGGGTTGATCAAGATATACATTTATCACAGGAAAATTCACCTTCTCACATCAATTTGGTGGTTTTCTATAGTGAAACTTTGAGAGGGGAAGAAAATTTGGGAATGAAATTCGAAATTATTCAGTAAAATTATTCTTTGCTCAACATTCTCTTTAAATTTACCAAATGTCATGACAGAGAACTAACAGCTGGAAACCAATATTAATTAATCCAAATATTAACTAGTTAACCATGCAGTCACATATGGTTTAGAAATATTTCCGTACTGGATCAATGATACTGCGACTTAATTTTTTCAATGTATATTATTATTTATATACATTACAAATCAATAAGAAGTTGTTCTACTTAAAACCCTTGATAAATAATATCAAGTATATTTTATCCAGACTTTGTTTTTTAAGATGAGTTTCCTTATTTTTAAGCACCACATTAAGCAAACGCTTCTAATTTAGCTAATTATGAATTAATTATGGACATGTGAGACAAACTGGTATTTTTCCAAGTCATTAGAGTACCTCTACTTTCTATTCATATAAGTATTAGCATTTTCATTTTCATAAATGAAAATAAGGGAACCCATCTTTAAGGTTAAATTTAAGCACTTTTCAACCTTACTCCTTGAAGTAGGTTGTTCACTTGTTACATTTTCCAAACATGACTGATAGATCTCACCCACTAATTACATTCTGTACTAATATAACCGTATGTAATAAATAAAAAATACATTATGAAACATAGTTATTAGCTGGTTCTCTTTGAAATATAGTAAATAGTTGTGGTCTTAGATTTTTAAAAGTTGAAACTTTGCTATTATTATTATCAATAAGGTGAATTTTCATTCCATTTTGGGGGAAATTACTTGATTTTAATGTAGCCTTTTGTCTTTTTAATTCTTTAGCAAATTCAGCTTCTAGATCATCCATTTTAACTGATCCTCTGAAATATGAACAAACAGTTTAATAATATTTTCAGATATAGTGATGAACAAGAGGAAGTGTGCATTATGATAATATACTACCTAGAAAAATTCTATGTTTAATAAAACATGCTTTACTACTCTTTAAAATAATCATTTTAAATTTCACAAAATATTGCTGTAATTTAGAAACAGCTTCATGGAACAACTAACACATGTTAAAATTTTATGGAATGTTTCGACGTGTTTCCCCCGTCATCCTCAGGCACCTAATGAAAAGAAGTGATGGGCAAACTATAAATACATTAATGCTTATTATTAAGACAACACAAGAGATGAAAAATGCTTTACTTCTTTAAGATCAACAGTTTAAATTTCACAAAATAATGCTGTAATTTATCCCTGGATTTGGATGTCATAAAATCTAGCCCAGCATTTAGTTATCTGCTTCATAAAACAATTTGCATATAGTATTTTGTCTTTTTTCATTTCCTTAATTACCTAAAGATAGTTTGCCAGGCAAGGTAACATACGCCCACTGGCAGCTGTCAGAAATGATTAAACAGTCTTTAGTGACTACAGGGTTGCACAATATAGCTAATAGAGTGAAACGTCAAGTCAGACACGATATTTCGGTGAAATATTATCCGATCATCGCGAAAATCAATAGGGATCATCTTCATAATGACATTGACACACAAAATAAAAATCAAAAGAATCTGTAAACAATTGTAGCCTGTAGAGTGAGCACGAGTTGCACAATATAGCTAATAGAGTAAAACGTCAGGTCAGACACGATATTTCGGTGAAAAATTATCCGATCACGAAAATCAATAGGGATCATCTTCATAATGACATTGACACACAAAATAAAAATCAAAAGAATCTGTAAAAAATTGTAGCCTGTAGAGTGAGCACGAGTTGCACAATATAGCTAATAGAGAAAAACGTCAAGTCAGACACGATATTTCGGTTAAAAATTATCCGATCATCACGAAAATCAATAGGGATCATCTTCATAACAACATTGACATACAAAATAAAAATCAAAAGAATCCATAAAGAACTGTAGCCTGTAGAGTGAGCACGAGCCAAATGTGAACAGACGGACGGACCGACGGACTGACGGGGTGATTACACTATACGCCCATCCTAAATGTGGGCGTATAAAAATGTATTGGTAACTTATAAACACAGAAAAGATAGCTTGCCAGGCAAGGTAACATACGCCCACTGGCAGCTGTCAGAAATGATTAAACAGTCTTTAGTGACTACAGGGTTGCACAATATAGCTAATAGAGTGAAACGGAAGTCAGACACCATATTTCGGTGAAATATTATCCGATCATCGCGAAAATCGATAGGGATCATCTTCATAATGACATTGACACACAAAATAAAAATCAAAAGAATCTGTAAAGAATTGTAGCCTGTAGAGTGAGCACGAGTTGCACAATATAGCTAATAGAGTAAAACGTCAAGTCAGACACGATATTTCGGTGAAAAATTGTCCGATCATCATGAAAATCAATAGGGATCATCTTCATAATGACATTGACACACAAAATAAAAATCAAAAAAATTGTAGCCTGTAGAGTGAGCACGAGTTGCACAATTTAGCTAATAGAGAAAAACGTCAAGTCAGACACGATATTTCGGTTAAAAATTATCCGATCATCACGAAAATCAATAGGGATCATCTTCATAACAACATTGACATACAAAATAAAAATCAAAAGAATCCATAAAGAACTGTAGCCTGTAGAGTGAGCACGAGCCAAATGTGAACAGACCGACGGGGTGATTACAATATGCGCCCATCTTAAATGTATAAAAAGGTTCATCCATCTATATCTGTCTTGGACAATCTATCAGTCACTATATATTTCTAGTATGATAAAGAAAACACAAATTCCAAGTATAAAAAAAGTTTTAAATACACACAAGCACTTTCAAATCATGCAAATGTAAAATAATATAAATATTACAAAATACATACTGAATTAAATACATCACAATATATTACAATATTATCATCCATCATGACCATGCCTTGAAATATAAAATATAATACAATACATGCTGTTAGGGTAATAAAAAGGTATTCAGGTGTTATAGGTATTCAGATTAATAGGCACTCTTACAATTGTGTATTTTATCATAGACAATTTAACATGTTCAAAGTAACATATGCAACAATTACTGCAATATCTCTGCATTTGCAAAATCATTTCAAGCAACATGCAATTAATACTAGTATAATTTTCATGTACAAAATGACACATATCTTATTTTTTCATACATCAATGTTATCTTAAGATAGTTAAATGACAATAACCATGCTGCTAATTCAATCATTATATTATTCAATTGAATGCTTTCTGATATTAATACCTAATGTAAACCATTTCTAAATTCATGCCTACTTACTTTTTCTTAGAAAATAGATTTTTCAATGAAGATTTGATATTTTTACTTTTTCTACTATCATCAGCCATAGGTATATGTTCTAATGATGTATAACGCTTAGTGGTTTTCTTCTTTTTCTTATTTTCTAAATTTTTACGAACATCAATATCTGTAGGAATACAAATTGACTGAGATTGGGGGTCTGTGTTAAGATTTTTCGGCAATGAGTTACTGTCCTTTTTGTCATTTGGTTGCACAAATTCATGATTATCACTATTACTAAGTTGACTGATGTTATTATGAGACAAATGAAGTGAAATCTGAGGTAAAGGGTCACTTGATTCTCCTTCCACTTCACGCTCGTTACTTTGTAATATTGAATCCTGAATATCATCAAGACGTAAACTTCTCATAGCCGATTTATCAATATCTTCTTGACTCATATCAGACGCAGCATGTTCACTATTGTTAAAGCTATTTCCATCATAGGTATTCTGTGGTTCAAGATATGCCTGATTTTGTCCGTAATCTAGATCGGCATGGTTATCATATTTAACCTTGTTATTGTGAATATTCTCAGTAGGATGAATAGCAGTGTCATCTTCATCTTCAACATCAGCATGATATTGGGAAATTCCATTCACACTGGGATATGTTTCAGATTCATCTGGGTGATACTGTGATTCATTATTGTCATAATAATGTCCATCAAAATTTCTGTCATAATTTACTTTATCACAATTAGGGGCATAGTTTCCTTGAACACTATTTCTTTCTAAATTTCCAGCATCACGACCTGATGGATAATTTCCAGTATCACGTTCATAATTGTCACGACTCTGATTTCCATAGCTATGATCACGCCTGTCATCATATTCACTGCGGCGCTCCTCGTAGTCACTATTATCACGATGTCTGTTTTTGTCATTTCTATGTATCACATGTTTTTGAGGAGTTTCTTCCTTAATGAAAGGTTTTGATCTGGGAGTTGTTGAATATTCCCTGCTACTGTCACTGGCATAATTATCTGATTGAAAGCTACGACTGTTTGGAATTCGTGAAACTGGGTCCCTTGTTAATGGTCCAAGCGAAGTGTGGGGTCTGTGCAGCAGATGATCACGATTATTCTTTTGACGAGAATCTGATGATGGTAGCATGAAATCAATAGCAGAAGCTGGACGTCCTCTTGGTGAATTATTTACATAACTTAGTTCCCTAACAGCATTGACTTGATTATGGGACATAGAGACGGGTCGTTTGTTTATTAACAATCCTTCTGAAGCATCTAGTCGTCGTGAACGTGGTCGTTTAAATTTATTATCAACATGATGAAGACTTGACAAACTGTCTAGATTACGAGTATGTGAGTCTACTAGATGATTATGTCTGTTATATGTTTTATTATATGAAGATAGATCTGGCTGACTTCTAGCTGCTAGTTTCATACGATGTAAATCACGATATGTTTCACGGGAACGTCCTGTATCCTGATCTAAATATCCACTTGATTGTTCTATCCACTCTGGTAGAAAATTACTGAAATAAAGAGACCAACACAAAAGTTTATTTCCTTATAAACTTTCACCCTTTGAAAAAGTAATGTTAATTAATTTCAATTTTTATATTCCTGTAAAAGTAAGCAATGCTGATGTACATCATAAATTTTTAGCTTAATAGTCTTTCCCTATGATAATTAATGATAAGTAACTATAACGTACCCCCTATCCAGATTATCTGGTAAACGTGAAGAACGACTGTGACTATTTTCCCCATTAGAATGTATCCCACTATCTCTAGTACTGGGTAAACAACCAATATCACAACTACTACCACTGGCACTTGAACGAAAAGAATGACCATCACGTCTACAAATATAGATACACCAATCAGCATCAGATTCCTTTCTTATGGGGCTTAACTCCAATATTTCCTTAAAGACACTTAGAAAGGTTTTTGGCAAAGACAATTTGCTCAGCTTAAAATAATTTTTCTAAACTTCCTAAGGAACACAATGGTAGTACTCATCAATAGTAAATCATTAAAATAACTGAATAGACTGTATCTTGCATCACAGATCAAAGTGTGCCCCCATGGTCAAGAAAACTACTGTAAAAATAAAGTTTTCACTATGTCCCTAAGGCAAATGGGTGCTGTGTGATTGCATCACTATCTGGGCAAGGGGAATTATAATGCCACGGACAGAGCTTTCAGAATCTGTCCATGTTGAGACTAAAACAAGTTCAAGAAGAATAGTTCTTACCGTGAATGATCAGTATTTAAAGCCATCATAGTATGAGACATCTCACTATTAAACTGATCAACAAAACTCTTTAATTTAGCCAGTGATGTTTGTAAATTATAATGGTCAGGATGAGTGGATGGGGTATGTTTCAATATTTGCTGGAAATACAAGACAGATTATTGTTTAGACAGAACACCTGAGATAGAATCACCTAAATATTTCTGAGCTGGTAGTACTGCTCATTGAATTAACTGAGATATACCAAGCCATACAGTTAGAGAGAAATCTGTTATCCAAGCATCTTTAATATTAAGAATTGAGTTGACCTTTGGTCCACACAGCTATTGTTTTGAACAAATTTCTATACAAACAAAGACAAATACAAAATTGAAATGCCAAAATTAGATGGGACATCCATGTGCTGACATTCAGCAAAAAAAAGAGTTTGACAATGACATAAGATTCAGACATGATTGAAATAATGTGACTTGAATATCTACCTGTAGTAATAATGAGTAGCGTGGAATTCTCTGTAATGGTGACATCATCAATGATAATAAATCACTGCCATCAGGGTGTCGAGATTTCTGACCCTGAAATAAATTGAAAATACAGTTGAATGGTGTTAGAAAACTGGTCGAAAATGAGTTTGCCACACTTAAAAATACCAAGCTACTATAGTCTGTAGTTTTCTGATGGATACTTGTTAAATAATGGGCAAAACTGAAATAGATCTTACCTTGATAAATGTTTTAAAATTTCTAGATTGTTGAACATGTCGCCGTAAACAGCCTACAGCTGCAGGTATATCAGCGATATATTCTCTATAAATTGACATGATGTTCTCCTAAAATACAATATATGTTATATTGAAAAATCAGCAGTGGTAAATTAGTTGTTATCTTATAACATTCAAAAATCTTTAGAAATAAACAACTTAAGTCTTTTTAGAATGGATTTAAGTCTCAAACTTGGCCAATAAAAGTACATATTCATCTGTGGACTAACCTGTTGTGTTAAGTGTTTTTCAATAATTACCTGCAATAATTACTTGATAATTATTTGTTCGATAGTTTTGACTCCAGGTAAGTCCATTGATGAATATAGACTGTTTTGGCCAAGTTTAAAAATCAAATTTGTTGGTCTAGAATATTTTTGTGAGCCAATGTTGATAATGTACAAAGGTATAATATTACTTTTAGTTATAAAAATTACACCCAAGGAATGGTGCCTACCTCTTCACTATCAGTCATTCTAGAGAAAATATCTCCAATAGAAACGTTGGAACCCCAATATGATACTCGTTCTTGTAATGTTGATAATATCTGACAATGGTGATCATATATCTGGCCAACATACGGTGGTATCAACACACTTATCTCCCTTGCACTAAGAAAATGACGTTCTTGTAATGGCGCCAAGTAATCATCTAAAATGGTCCAGATTTGTGAGCAGTAATCTTTCTCTGACTGGATTAATTCTTCTATAGCTTGTAATCTTGGTCCTACAATACACAAGTATTATTCTACAATTATTTAACACAGAGTATCACAATCTGAATAATCATTACTCTGAGAGAGCTCAACCCAGTTTATCTTGTGCTGGCAGTACACATAAAAATGTGAAATCTTTTCTCAAGACAATAGACTTAAAATCTCATATAATACTTTCTTATATTTAAAAATTATTATTTTTATATATATTTATAATAGTTCAGTAGTTAAAATATTTCAAACACGGTTAATTTATGGATTCCTGGTGTAGAAAATAGCACTACCTGATTCGGAAACATCAACTTGAGATAATTTTCGTGGTGAATGATAACCTCTACTTTTACTGCTTCCAGATTGAGAATCCAATGGCTGAAAATGCATTTCAAAAATTATATATATTTTTCTGTGGTAAATCATAATTCAGTATTTTAAATATGTTACATCATTTAAAGAAAAAAAAACATATGCATACAGTACACGGGCCGACAAGGGAAGACACAGCCAGTTACTCTTTTTTCAAGTTTTGTCACTTATGGAAACTTTACATGAAGGCATTTGCTTTTTCACATTGAACAATTGGTGGTTGTGGGTTATAATCTCCATCGGCATGTAACTTGAATAAGTCAACGTTCCTCGTTATTTCAGTCAAACCAGCTGTATGTATGTATAATGCAGGAAACATCAATGTCAAGAGATTTGGCAAGGACCAGCTGGTTTAATGGATCCTTGTGTACCTTAGTTTTGTATAAAATAGTTATATCAGGTTTAGGTTGAAGTTGAAGAAGAAATTATTGGATATCTATAATATTTGTACCTGTTGCCAAGGATGTGAATGATCATCATCACTAGATTCTGACAGATTTAAATTCATACATTTCTCTTTCAGAGCTTGTGATAAACTTAAACTTTTACAGGCTAGAGATGTTACATCACTGTCACCATTTAAACTTAAATCTTTAGCTGAAAATAAATGTTATATAGAATGATAAGAAGACATGGAATGGAATACTTGTTCTTGTTTTTAACTGTGTTGGAGTTTTTAACATGTATAGCAAAAGTGTAGCATATTTCTTAATACACGCGGTAACATGCAAACTGAAATCCTTTTATATCAATGGTCGAAAAAAGATTGCAAAGCTTTCAGAATCACAGCCAAGCTGGTATTTTTAAGTCAAAAAGAAGAAAACTTACAATGTGATGAAGAATGTGTCAATTGTTTTTCTGGCCATGGTGTAGGGTGAGATAACTCCAAATTACCATTCACCATTTCATTTCTGGAATAAAAAAAAAAATCAGCTCAGTGCAAGAAAATTCGACCCACAATATTTTTTTTATAAAAGAAATACATGTGCAAAAGATTCCAAAAAATAACATAAATAACAATTTCTAGGAGAATTTTGCAGGATGCAAATCTCAACAAGCAGGCTCCTTCATATTTTCTTGCCAGAAATTTTTTTTTAAGAGAAACCAACCTTATTGTATCTGGTAAAGACCCACATCTTACTAATTGATATACAAGACTATCATATAATTTCTGTAGATTATCCAGACGGTCTAATAATGTATCTCTTTCTTTCTCAAGATTCTTCATCTTGTCCTCAATTTCCACGTTTTTGTTGTTTAATTTCTTCAGTTCACCCTGTACTTCATTCTGAAAATATTTCAAATCAAGATAAATAAAATTTAAAGTGCTAATTTTCTGAAAATGTCTGCCAACATGCAATGTATGCACAGAGGAGCATTTCCTCTATTTAATCAATTTCCTATAAAAATGATAATCTTTGAAGATATCTGTAATGTAGATGGATCATGCCTGTCTATAAATTGACAAATATAGTCCTGTAATTACTAAATGGTGTATTATCAGGATATAAGGTGTCAGTCAACATGGTGAATATATAACAATATAACATGTAACGTATCAATCAATATTACTGATATATTATTATAAGATCTATATTGTTTTTCATTAGATTTCTTTTTGTTTTCAATAGATTTATAAGCTAAGCTTTAAAAACATAAGCATCTGAATAATTATAATTCTGGAAATAAAAAAAAAATTGTGTATGCAAGAATATGTTTCAGTAAGAGTTGGATAGGACTTCCATTTGTATTGGTCACATCTCTCATAATAGAACTCCTAAATTTAAGTCAAATCTTCCAGCAATAAAATTATTTAAGTGAGATAGGCACCAAAAGATAAACACCTAGGCACCAAAAGATAAACACCTGGGCACCAAAAGATAAACACCTATATCGAAAACAAAATGAACACAATAAATACCTTTAAAGAAGTAACTGTGGTCTGTATTTGAGTTATTTGATCTTGATGGGTATCCTGTGTTTCACAAACTTGGCGCCAATTATTTTCCTCTGTAGTCTGGGAATGAGATAATTCTGACATCACTTCCACAAAACCTTGTTTAATTTCTTGAACCATTTCTTGTACCTGAAAATAAATCCAGATTTCATTAATTTTGTAGACTTAGGTTAAATTATCATTTTTGAAGCAATCAGACACAAAAAAATTCATATTAACATTGTGAAAAGCACCTGTTCTCATATTATGGGTCAAGTTATTCATATATTTGTCTATTAATATAAGAAATGTTTCAAAATCTAAATCAGATCACTTGAAGGAGAAAATAATTCTGGTTTTGGACAATTCAGACTGGCGCTATATTATATTGGTGTTCAAACATTTCTCATTTTAAACAAAACAGATGGTATGGGATTTCTTTCTGGAATATGGAAATTTATTCTTAGAAAGAAAATGGTAAAAATTCTATGGAAATTATAGAATCCAAAAAATAGTTAAACTTGAATTGTTTTCTCAAATCTTCAGGTTGGCATTGTTTGACTTGATGATGTTTGTTAGATAATGGCAAGAAACATCAGGTAAACTTCTGGTAAGAAAAATAAACCTTGTTCTTTAATCTATATACAATATATACCAATAATAATAATAACACACAGCTGTTGATGACAACCACAATATTTTTACTCTACCAAGAAAATATTACAGTATGGAAACAACTGTTCATCAAAAACTTTAATCTTCAAAGAGTTCTTTCTTTCCAAAGAAAGTAACAAATGGGTTTTTACCAACATACAGAGCCAAAAGAAGCATATAATCAGACACTGACCAAAAATCACACATTTCCTCTCAAAATGTCTTTTTCACTAATCATCTGGAACCTTTGTTTGTTTTTTACTTCATAACCTATACAAATCTTTTTTTTTTATGTCTCACTCTAACACACCTTAATACAAATTAAAACAGATCCAATTTAGTCAATATTTTAAAATATCCTGGAACCTGGATAGTCATTGAAAATAAAAGTCTAATGACAAAGACAATTGTTCAGTTGCAGAAATTCAATCAAAACCAAAGGCTGAAAGGCCAAACTTATCCACTTTAAGAAATCACCAATGCACTTATATTCTAATTCATAGTTTGCATTCCTTTTACATATTGATAATCAATTTAATCTAAATAGGTTGTATCTATCAACCACCAGAATTTCACTAGAAGATTATCAACCAATCACTCAGTGGTTATAGTAAAAACCTGGTATAACTATCAGACTATCAGGTAGTTAGCTAGATCATAGATATCAAATACTCATCAGGTGAGATTCCAGAGTTAATGTATATTAAATGATAAATAGTGTGTAGACTTTCTGAGATTAAATTAACATCTGGTATGTCTAGGTAGTTGGTACCATTCCAGGAATAAAAGACAAATCCAGGTCATACCTGGGGCAACATAAGAAAGTACTGACCATGTTATGTTCTTATCTAACAGATGGGTTATTATAGCAGCTGCCAACAAAGTAACATTCTATAATACAGATACATGCATTTTTTGGTCTTAATCAAGAATTCCAGCTCCCAAATAACTTCATCCTGTTCAGTTGATCATTGATCAGTGAGCTTTCCAATTAGCAATATCATTTCAATCTTAGAAAACTAAGCACATCAATCTTTCAATTTCCTGTCAAATGCTGTTAAGTGACATGGAGAAAACCAAATTTATTTGGAAAAGGAAGAAACTGTTTTATCTTTAAGTCTTTAGTAACCCTTTTGTTACTGTGCCAAAATTTCTATATTTGAGTATCTTGCCTGCTCAACTGATATGTTTTATATTATCTTCACCATCTACTGACCAATTACTACACTAAGTATTTCTCTTAGTACTGGTATGCTGTAGGTATATTTAAACAAACAAAACATGGTAGATAATATAATTGTTACCAGGCATGTTGATTTGGCTCATATTCCAGTCATGCGTCTGTTTCTGACATTGTTTCAGAAGACATTTATATGGATTAAATTTCGATTACTCTTAATAGAAATTTTGCATAAACTCGTGTAATTTTAACTTCAATTTGACATGCCAGTGAACAGTCTTGAGGCATTGTTGTGCAACAAAAATTTCAAATCTCAAAATGATCTTGAACTAAACAATACCTAAAGTATCTCAGCAAACACTGAACTTAATAAAGCATAAGAATCTCAAAATGATCTTGAACAAATGATCACCAAAACACATTAACACAAAAAATCAACTACTGATCTCTTGTATTTACTTTTACAGTTATCTTCCATGATGCTTTGACTAAAAGCCTCTGGTATGCAGTTAGTATTTGTATAATAAACAACCCAATGTAGGTACAGCATGGTACTTACAATACCAGCTTGAAGTACTAATAATGATAAATGACTTAATACTAACTGATGGGGTTCCTGGTAGATTTCTATAAACAAATCTATAGTACTATACTAATGTGATTCTAATAGACAAATTTTAATGGAATTCGGTTAAATAGGAACTAGTCCTACAGAGTCAGCAGTGTTTATTTTGGTTAGAATAACTAGGATGGCAGGAGTCTCAATGGATTAATACTATCTCTGTGGTTCTCATATCTTAACCCTCAAATACATCAATGTTTCAATTCAATGCATTAAGAACATGATTTGAACAATACTGTGATTATGCAAAACCTGAAGATCTCTACACATTTGATGATAAATATGCTGCCAGGTGGCAAAACCTGTTTAATATCTACACACAATTACACAATTGGTCAAGAAGGCGCTATTAATTTGTTAGTCAGATTTGCATTTATGTGATGTAGTGCCATGTTTTCAAATCCCCTTCATATCAAATTTACAGGGACTGTGGTATATGGGCTGTGCTATATTGTCTGTCTAACTTCTAATTTATTCAGACTCTATGATCAAAGTGACCTACATTATTGATGGGGTAATGACCTGAAATAACCCTTTCCTCATTAATTTACCACTAACAGATTATAATAGTTACAGCTTTGACAAGATAATTACTGACCAAATATCTTCCCTAAATAATACATTGTTATCATAAAGAGCAATACGAACTTGAAAACAGTCATAGAGTAACATCAAGTAAAGAAAGCAATCCAATACAGTGGTGACAACAGACTAGGGGTACAGATTGATTTCATGCAGGGACAACTGTCGTAGTTGAGATTCAAACTGTGGTAACCATGTGGAAGCTCATAGGAGCATCTGAGAATGAAATTTTTGAAAAAATAAATTTGATTTGGTGCATTCTGAAACATATTTAGGGTCAAATATGAAGTGGGGATACAATTGGTGGAGTGAACCATTTTTCTAATGCTACCTCCTGCACCACTGATCAAATATGAAATTCCTTACTATTACTTTTCACAAACAAGCATTTGTTCCATAACATAACTTTATTATCAAAACAGTAAGGCCAACTTCCTGCCTATTCTGCCCAGAGAAATAGTTCTAGACATTTATATATGTTAGTCATGGATATTGGATATCTATTGCATGTTATCACTAAAATATGTGTATTTTATCAACACATCTATTTCATAACTTCCTGTTTATATAGTCTAGGTCTAGGAGAAACTAAACTCAATTCACCCAATATCTAAACATTCCTAGAGCTTCTTGGCAAACACTGAACTTATCAAAGTGTACAAGGCATGTACAAGATCAAAACTCTTAATATATCACAGTGGTGCAGTATGTATTTTGACATTTGAAAATACAGAATATGATGTATGATGTAATTTCTGACATTCATTTTATCATACAGTGTTTACACAGTTTCACATTGACTCATGGTCGAGACACAGGAACTGTCTTTGTCGCTGATTTTTGTTGCAGACTAAACTCTTCTCAAGATTTTCAACGACAGGCTGCAAGCACACAAGGAGACAAAAAATCTACAGTTGGTTGTTTTCCTATGTCGATACTCACGTGAAATTTCAGTTGAAAATGAATTTGATTGAAAGATAACACAAGGAAAACAATCACAGACATGAGAAATAAAAATCTGCAAAAGCAAGAATCACGTCATCGACACAATATTCTTATAGTGCACACATGTAACAGAATGACCAAAACTTTTTGTTTTGTTTTGTATTTTTCTGATTCCAAAATACTTCAGGACACAGCTTTTAAGTAAGAACTTTCAAGATCTGTGCCATGAACTGAGTTCTTGACCTTCAGCTTAGTCACCAAAAGACTAACAAGCATAATTACATTGTATTTTATGTAGCCTAGAACCTACTTTAGTTGATTTTTATAAGAACATATTTAGATCATAAACATATTCACTATATTCAAGAATGATAAAGATTACTCACTGAATTGCATTTTTTATTCCTTTTCATTAAAACTCTCAGACAGATATATTTCATTTTAACTTCAGAAAACTTTATTTACTGATAATAATATCATGTTTCTAATTAAGTTGGCAAAAATTACACATTTTATCTTTTCTAGTTCTTATATGATTTATGTAACTGGTTTTAGATGAAACATTTTGTAAATTTATTGCTAAAAAAAATCTTTTTAAAGAAATCCACAGAAAAATACCTAAATCTACATTTAACTCAAATTCTTCAGAATAAGAAATTAATGATCTTGTAAAAAGAAACTTACCGATGCCAGCTGTTCGGCCAGACCATTTTCTGATATTGCTTCCATACTGTCTAAACTATCTGTAAAATATAAAAATTCTTTATTATAACATTTTATAATTCTTTTACAAAACATAATTTTATTCTTCAAGTACACATGCTCTAATAGTTTGCACTGGAATATATTTAAGGTGTATTTTAGGTTCTGAAAGGCCAAAACAACTGATACTGAAATCAATATGGTCCAATTTTTTCAAATTTTATCATGAAAGAATTAATTGTAAATTAAAATATAACAAATTTGTTAATGTACCACACTGGAAAATTTGCGAATCGATTCTCAAAAAGATCTACAAAGTAGTACTATAAACTGTATTATTGTACTATTGAAGGTACTATCGGTCTATAGGATCATGATTATGAATTGTTGAATTATGACTAATTTTTGAATCAAATATATATGTAGGAGTATAATATGGTACAATATATTCAATTAGTAATATAATAAATATATATATTGGTATATGAGAAATCACAAACACCTGTTTTCTATTATAATTTAGATATAGAATTATTCCACCTATTTCACAATCAATATATTATAAACAATCAGCATACACTAAACACAGGAAATCTCGTTGTTCATTCATATTTATGTTTGATTAACAATATTACCTCTTTCCAGTCCTTGATACCTCCCTACTGACAAATTTCAATTAGCTAGAATAAGAAAATCAATTGTGCTTGTCTGCAGTTTTCAGAACTTATACCCTTAAAATATATTTGAAACTCCAGTCGTAAGTAATAACAAAGCTATACATTTCAGCCAATTCGTTAAACAGAAAAAGGTTTCTTTAATTTTGAAGATCATCCTCTTAGTAGTTGTGTTAAACAGAAAATGAAAATCTCCTTCATCCTGAGTGAAAAAAGAAAACTTACTTTTTGACATTTTTTGAATAATTAAAAAAATCTAGATCACAATCTTCACTTTGTTTATCACAATTAATGATTTTCTATAAAACTGAATAATTATCAAGTCTGTAATCCATCCATTTAAAATAACACACCACAAATTTCCATATTCTATTCTTATAGTAATTCAAAATGGTAAATCCTATGTATGTGTTGTCCACTGGATGACTCCATAAATACTTTTCAACTGAGATCTTGAGACATGGTGAACATGATTGAAATTCAGCAGTAATCAATGATATATAGTCACTGGAATAGTTTTACCTAACTTAATCCAATAAATGATTTCCACTAAACACATAGAAAGACACAAACACCACCAATAGTGTCACAAATTTATTAAATCTTAACTGATTCTGGTCAAATACAAGTGTTTCTCATTAAGTATTACCAAACTATTTTAAAAACTGTTCATCAGAAGAAGACATCCAAAATATCAGTAATATTGAAGTCCAGTTGAGAAGTAACCGCAAGTGCAGTCCTTGTTGTCCAGTGTTAGTAAATGACCATTGGTTGCTATCAAGTGATAGTCATTAAATGATATAATCTCACCACTATATTAATCTGATTAACTTAAACTCTATTACCTATAGATTCACCTTGTTTTAACATACTTTAACATACCTGGACATACCTTCATTAATCATTATCACACCTGATTACAGTTAAAGGGACTGTTAGCACCCCTGACATCAGGTAAACAGACAATCCCCACACCTGAATACAGGTAAAAGGGCAGAGTGACATTATTTTAACATCTGTTCCACTTAACTGAATCATAAAGACTTAAAATGACCTGCCTTTTGTTCAGTTGTTTGAGATATTGGTTGTTTAAATTGATTCTTGCTCTTGTCTCGGATGAAAAAATAAAGCTTTTCAGATCTGCCCAGTATATAAAAATATAACCAAAAGCTACATTAAATCAAAATGTAGATAATAATCCTTAAAGTCCCTCATTTAAAAGGAACATTATTATTAATGATTCTAGAAGTATCTATCCATAAATTGTCTTATTTATTTATTATTATTAAGGTTCTTAAATGAACAAATACAATAAAACTTTCTACCTAGTATGAAGATGTTTTCCTGCAAATTTATCAAACAATTTTTGGAGATTATCCCTTTAAAATGGCAAGTGGCTACCCTTCAATATATGGTGTCATATTGATCAAGAATGATATAATAATTAAACAAGGGGTTTAACTTTAATCCTGTCAGGTGTAACAAAGTGAGAAGTCACAATGCTCTTGTCTAGTTATTTAATAATCTACATGTATTCTTCAGAGATAATTCTATAATTGGATACATTATGTTAAAGACTAAATTAAAACAATTAGATCACCATTGTTTGTCCTTCAAAATAACCTATACATTTTGTCCCACTATATAACTACATCACAATGGAATAAACATGTACCTGAATCAGCTGATGCAGATGGAAAATACCATGCAGTGTGCAATAAGGGAAATTTTGCCAGAACAGTGGAATTATTCTACTCTTCTTTTTATTTCCAACGGTTATCTTTATCATGCACAGCCTATGTTAGTTGTTTTAAAGTTTCAATCATCTTGAGGAGGGATTAAAAAACATTGTACTGCATATTAAATAATAATACAGCTCCTTACCACTTGATCTAATTTGGGTAAAATTGCCCGATAAGTTTTGTAAGATTGTTCTCTAAACCTATGTCAATCAGATTGGAATAAAGATTCTTGGCACTATATTGTATATCCAGATCGACTTCTCCATCTGAATTCTCTTCATGCCAGTCTGCTTTAGAAATTCAGCCCCAATCCCTATAAGCTGAATTTCATTCATCAACATCCTTATAATATCACAATTAATCTCACAATCAATTTTTTAACAAAATCCTTACATAGGTACAGATGTCATCCAGTAATGGATTTAAAAACTATCAAAATGTCATGGTATTGAAATCCAATAATAACTTCAGGTTAATTATGTTACTAGTAATTAGTATAATCTAATTAACATATTGACTAACCTATCCTTATGTCACGTACACCACCTGTCACTGTCTCTCTTTTTTTCTGTTTTCAATACATACCTTTAATTTTTTATATTTTTATACAACATACATTTTATGTCATTTTCTAAATATTTTGTGTGTATTGGGGTGACTGATAGCATCAATTTGCACCATTCCAATTTTTAATCAGACGTCTGTTGTTTCAACAATTGATGACATCACTAATGCAAAAGTTAGAAAACTTTCTAACAATCCATTTAACTAAAGTGATTGGGATTGAAAGTAGACATATATCTGAGTCTCAAATACACTCCAAGGTGCATCATTAAGCTCCTTTCCTTGCTAAATAAAACTAGGTATCAACTGAACTACAAAACCAGTAGTACTGGCCACCTACCACAGCAACCAACAACTGCCAAGTTTGCACTATCAACTTTTGCTGGAAGGGAACGTTAACTTTTTCAACTACTGAACAAACCAAGGCTATCCTCTGTCATCTTATCCATACTTATCACTAGACAACCATGATCAATCAGAATGGTTTTTGGTCACACGACTTTATGTTGATGAATCAATAACAAGGTAAGATGATTATAAAAAGAAGATAGTAATAAAAGGATCAGAGTGATCAGACAGTTGGTAAGATGATTTTTGATTGTTAACAGATATAGAACAAACCAGGTAACTATTTATCAATATATTGATTCTTTCAACTTCAATATGATCTTTCTTTTATCTTCTTTTATTTCTTTTCCCCTTAAAACAGATGCTGGTGTAAGAATAATTTTGTCAACTATGAATTCCTTTAAAGATTAAAAAAAAAATATTTGGATTTTTGTCCTATTAAAACTAATGAAAATTTTTGGTGGGTGTTGGAATTAACTTATGGAGGCATATGATATGATAGTTGATAATTTTGATGTTGTATCGGAAGGCTATGTGAATCGTATGGTCCTATATTGCCTTCAGGACATTTTCCTACAATATGCTTTGGAAGCTGGAAAATGTCGTCATATGAAAGATAATTTAGTAAATCTTGGATACAATCCAAAGTAATCAATTTCAAAACCTTCAAGAACCATAATTATCTGTCCAATGTTAGGTACATAACAATTGTCTTATTCCAAGGTCAGCTCTTCATAAACTTGACAACTTCTTCAACACTTGAAGTGGACCTTCCTCAAACTTTTCATATCTTTATGATAACTTGTTATAGATACAACATTCTAATTACAGAATAAATTTGACATAAAACTTCTAGATTTCTATTCTACACAGTAAAGAATATTTTATAAAGGAAATATTGGTTTATTCTACTCCTTTAATTATTTTGTAAATGGACGAGAGTTTCTTTAGGTATTGTGTAGAAGTCATCCATGTCATAGGCAAAAAATAAATTGGCATGTGCCATGAAATATTTCTTCAAGAACCTAATTTTATTTTGTCTGAAAGCCACATGAAAATATCAACTTAGAGGAAAACATGAGATAAAGAAAATAGATGAGATATTCTTATAAAATTTTGGCATGATTTAAGAAACACATCACGTTTCTTTAGGAATTGAATCTGGATTTCACTTGAGTTGTGCCCTTCACATAGATAAAACAACATAAAACATATCAAATTTATGCCATTTAAATGCTAACTTTTCTCTGATGTCATGGAATACCTGATTACCGTGGAAACAGATTGTGTTTTTGCAAAGTTTGTGCTGCCAAGTTATTTGTATAGAGTAAAGGTGTATGCCAAATATATTACCTCAGTATGTGAATGATATTGTGTTTCTGTATGTAACATACAACAATGAAATAAATGATCCTAAAGAGTCTTGTATCATTAATTAGTTTCTTTTGTTAATGAATTTGTCAAACAGTGACTTCTATCTCTAACATATCAAATACATGTTTGTAAATGTCTAGCACTTTTTACATTTCATTACATACTCCATCAAGCACATTTTAAAAGTTTGAAATAATTCAAGAAGTTGTGAGTGCTCGACTCGTCTAGTCAGTGGATATAAAAGGATTGGTATCATTGAATACCAGAACATAATGACATAACATTCCTGATATACCACACCTATATCAAATACCTACAGACTTCTTGTAGAAATATATCAATATTGCTTATAAAATAGAAGGCATGAACACTTTCTTTTGCAAAGTAAGAACTGATATTACAAAATTTAAAGTGAATTGAATCATTTGCTACAAGAACAGACTGACATGACCTGCTATATCTCTAATATCAATTTTCTCTATAAATATATAGAAATCATCAAAATAACTCTAGAAATAATGAAAGAATGGTGAACAGATTTCCACTGGTAAAAAGGCTACTTTTCCTCACTTTATATATTGGTAATAAATCTTGAATATTGGTATATCTATATCAGTAGGCATCAAATAACAAAATGACAACATGTCTGTAACCTCTCCTAAACTTTCAGCACCAATAAATAATTCTGAGCATAGAAAGAATCCAAAATATAATTTGCCCTACACTTATAAAGCCAGTTACAGATTAAGACAGGAATAAAAAAGGAAGCATCATCAGATACAATAGCAATTGGTTGATACAGGATAGAGAACCATTATCTAGTAGATAAAAGTAGCATATTTTTCATTATGCATTCATGTCAGGTTACATACAAAAGCAATATTATACTCTCAATGACAGAATATGTCCTACCTGCATGGTTCATATTTTCATCAGCATCTTTTACTTCCTCATCTCTATCTTCATTCTTCTCTTCCATTTCTTCTACTATCTGTCTCTCCACACAAATCTCTTCATTCCTTTCTGCTGCTATCGGTCTCTCCACACAAATTTCTTCCCCTCTCTCCATTTGACTGTCATTTACTCCCAAATTACTGTTCTTCGGAGACAAAAATCTGCAAATATACCACATTTCCATAGTTTTTTCTTTTTCATTATTTTTAGGCACTCCCATGATACTATTGGAAGAACTTGCCGTATTTAAATACAAATTATCAGTAGAAGTTTGGTGGTCTATATGTATAGATTGTAATGTATCATTACAACTTATCACAGGTTGTGATCGTCGAAAAATATTCCTAGTGAATTGTAATATCCCATTCAACACACGTAAAGTATTTGTCAAAAAGTTAAAAGTGAAAAATCTAGAAGAAATCCACCGTAAGCCACACATCAAATTTTCCACAAAAATCTTCAAAAAGTTATGTAGTTAGTCAAACATTACATAATCACAGCAAATAATGGTTATCATTTTAAAACACTCTTGTTGATATATAGATTAAAATTCTTCAGTTTGCCAAATTTTTTACAAATATAAGAAATATTTTTCCCAAACAAATTTTATTTTTTATCAAATACAGTCATGTTTGGATTGTTTCACATTACATGTGGTTTTTGAATTTACATTATTTAGAAATATCTTCATACTAGGCCTTTAATCACAGTAATTATAAAATTTACACAGAACGATTTCACAGCACCTAACTTGAAATAATAACAGTCTTTGATGTTTATTATCTTTCAAATTTAGCTTATTAGCATTGATGTACTCACAAACTGTTTTTCATGAAAACTTCATAAAACAGAAGAAGCTTGTGTATCCTTTTAAAGCATATTCGGTCTTCAATCGAGTAGCATTTCATACATTAAACAATGATATCAGTTCTACAAAAACTTGACTAAACAATACAAATTGGATCCAAAGTTAAATAATCAGACTGGTAGTAAAAGATTACAACAACCGCTCCAGAAATATCAATATCCAAATTCACAGTCTCAACATTCACAACACACAAATATCAAAGAACTATTTATTTTAGACTGGGTCGTTTGGATGTCAAAATGTACACTGGTACCAGAAGTTCTTGTAAGTTATGTAAGTTCACAAGTTTATATTTATTTATATATTTTTCACTATCATCAAAGATTTCCTCAGATGTATGCACAACTCAAAGCTTGTATCAACGACCTAAAAGTTATTCTGACCAACTGTATAATATAACTGTTTAGAACAGAACTACTGGTAGATATAAACTGTTCAAGTCTACAAAACTGACTGGAATAACAGAGATAGTGAGAATCAAGAATTTTGGGTGTTACCCAAGTTCTATAAACACTTATCTAGTATACAGAGGAATTACAACTTAGGAATTTCTTGATTGGCTACAGACTATTGTTAATCTTAACAACTTCTTGTGAAACCCAACAGTGCAATTATTCTTTTTTTATCACCACAATAACCACACAAGTGGAATTGCTAGATAAGGGATAAGGGACATAATCAATTTAAATGAAACAATTAAAGCTAATTTGATATTTGACTAAATAATGATGTGAAAAGAATGTACTGAAAGCATCAACCAACTAGCTTTTTAAGCACTAAATCATATCCTTAAATGAAGAATAACTTGGTTAAAAAAAATTATAGCATGAAAAATACTATTTCCTACATTTTAAATTCAAACTTCAATGTTATCAACTCCATCAGAATTGAATAAACATGACTCATATATACACAGGAATGTTGACATACTGAAGAATGTACTTGGGTCAAAAATTAATATCTGCATATACTGATGCAGTCTTTTAAACATCAAAAATATGAAAATAGCATTGAATTCTCAAAGCACATTTGGCAACTT